GTATAATTTCATTTCAGTCTAAACTTTTGTTTTATCATTTCAGATGAAAGTATCAGTTTATGAAATTTTAATGATGATGTTTTTAGAATTAGTAACCAGGGCGTATTGTGAATGCTCTTGCACACTTCAGTCGGTACGTATTCAAGATAATGATATAGACGGTGACCACCTGGTGACACATTTACTGCACACAAATGCCTGCATCGGTCTGTCTAAACCTAGTGTTGTCGAATCAATTTTAACTTCTGCCCTACATGCATCAGCACGTGAATGTTGTTGCAAATCATTGTGGCGATACGTGGTATGTAATTTATTAATTTGTTGTTTGTTAACATTAAATGGACTCCACTGATTTTTTTTGGCAGGAAGGGACTGGAATTAATTTTGCGAGATTAATACTACATTTGATGCAGGTATAGATAAATAACTTGTGTACGAAATTTCAGACTATTCGCTCGTTCCGTTCTTTTCCAGAATAATTATTCTTATGTGAAAAGGAACTAAAATTGAAAAGCGTTTAAATGCTTTCCATTCAAATCGGGTTAAGAATAGCACAAAATAAAATATTCAGATTTTCAGTAAATTTCTGAGTACTTTTGCAAACCTTTCTGGTTTAAGTGTCCCACCTGATCCAATTAAGAAATTTATATTTTCTGTTTTAGGCTTTTAGAACTCAGTGGAGTACATTTAAAGCCAATAATATTAGAATTGAATAATAATTACGTAGTTTATTAAAATGAATTTATACCATTCAAATAATCTTTTATTTTCTCATTTATTAACAAATATTAGGGAACGTTTACATTAACTTTGTCATTTTGTATTATAAAGATAATTTGCTGACTTTGTTCATATTGGTTTGTTAATATAAGCTTGATAATGAAGTACTTTATTTGTTGATGCGACAATAAAGACGGCTGAAATGGACGTCATATTTTCAATATCTTGATTTTATTTGTGTTTAATTTCAGCCGGCACTAGATATCAACCGCGAAGTCTTTGTTAAAACAGTGTATGTTTGTGAGGCGATTGATTGTTAATACCAGCACAGATGTATTCTAATATCCTATCTTCAACTTTTTCTAAGTTATGTTTATCGGTGACAAGCACTAATGTGTCAAATGATGCGAATAACCAGAAGTCTTCAATTTAAGATGCATGTACATATATTTATAAACTTCTTAAATATTGAAAATAATTTTAAAAGAAATGTAACGCTGCACCTGTGGAAAAACAGACACTACTCTGTTATGCTAACACGAGCAGCTTCATAACCATAATATTAAAGCAATTTTTATTTCTCAAAGTCTTATTATTTTTGGATTTTTTTACAGTTTCCCAATAGTTACTCATTTGCCATATAAACGAATCCTTTCCCTCTTTTGCTCTTTGGCAAGAAGAATGATTTTCGTTATCAAGTATTTTGTATGTTTCCAGTTTACATTTGCTACGTTTTCAACACATAGTGATATATCAGACGATTCTTTCTTCAGTTGTTTCACATTTTATATACTCTAAATCCATTATTAACACAGTATTAAACACATGTTTGACCTTTGTGAAGATTTTTTTTAAATTTGTTTCTGAGTTTTGCCTTTAAGGTTTTTTCTCAATCCATAGAATTGTCTTTATAAATAAGTTAAACCAGTACTACTTCAAGTCAATCAAACTACCGATCACCAAATATCGTCTTGGAATTTTTTGTTTCATTTTTACAGTCTGAAAAATACAACTCCTTCCATATGCAAAACTGCTCTTGATGACATTTGGGCATATTTAAGTATCCTAAGAGCAATAACCGCCAGATAACTTGAAAAGCAATGACAGTCATCAGTCCGAAGAATAAGTAAACAACCCAGCGTTCGTATGGCAGCATTTAAAAAATTCCATGGTTTCCAATTTCCAAGCCGCTCTTTGAATGTTTACACATCTGTCAACACTTATTTATTGTCTGTAACACTCCTCAAATAAGTTTTCTGTCTTCTAAAAAGATGTATGACTAACAAATCCAAATGATATCCCTTTGAATCAAACACAATTATTTTCCTCCCCTGATATACACAACTTTTAAAAATGGCGGCCGCTTACATTTCACAGAGCGAGGTCCAATATAAATTCGCAGTAAGTAATAGAAATAAGTATGGATGGCTTGACTTTTTTCTCCTACTAGAAAGTTTGTTTTTATTTTTAAAACAAGCGATCATTCATATTATTTGAATAAATTGAAAAATATCATCGCAATTTAACGCTGATTGTCGAACATTTTTTTCAGCCCAACAATTTTTGTATTTTATGAGAAATTCGACTAAAAGAAGGATACCATTGGGGAAAACATATTTTAATATTAACGTAAATATTAAGAAAATTTTATTTAAACTTGTTTTTCAGCATGAAATAAAAAGAAAATTTGTTTGTTTGTTGTTTAAGATGTAATTTTATTTCATCTCGTGAACTTTGAAAACAGTATTCTCACTCGTGGCTACACCACTCATAAGAATAAGCTTTTAAAGCTTACTCGATGAAATAAAATTTCATATTACACCAAAAAACAACAAATATCCTCTATATACTAATATGAACACAGAAAATATAAGTCTATTCAACAAAACAATATTATTTCTTTTAAATGAAACAGATTGTATCGCTGTTAAATACATAACCGTTGTTGTCGGACTTTATATAAAAAGAAACAAAAAGCACCACAAATAACATCCACACACACACATACGCACACGCAAACGCACACACAAACACAAAAACACAAATACATTAACAGAACAGCAAGTTTGCATTTGACCGTTACTTAAAGCAGCAGATGATCATGTTGGTTACATTGTTCATTTTGTTTAAAAAAAGAAATCTAATACAACATTTTATAAGAAAAATATGAGATTTAGGGTAGATATCAAAACCGAAAATGTGAAGAAGAACGATCTAGATTTAAATAGTGTCAGTTTAAAAATATACAACGTCGACAGTTGAATGAGTTGATCAAAATAATTTATTGTGACGCTTTGAAAGACTAGCTCAAAGAATAACATGTATTATTATATAACTATCTATCAATCCCAAAGTTACCCAATCATACTAAAGCTAAGTATTCACAATAAAAAGATAATTAAGAACTACCGAATATTATGACATATAAGGTGACCGTCTATTTATTAGGATAAAGAGGGTTGTATCGGCTGATCAATACGTAATTAATGGAAAAGTATCAACAAAGTGGCCGCAAAATGTATTTTGAAGCTTACGGCATAATGATAAGATCATAATAAGTAAAATAAGGAAAACTCGACAACTGTCGGAAACATAAACCGTTTTACAAGGTGGCGATGGAGTGAAAATTGATTGTTGAAAGGGCAGTTGTCGGATATGTATGAACTGGAATGTGTGACGATGGAGTAAACATGGTAAATTAAAGTGAACATTGGAAGCATATTAACACGGAAAGTGTGATGATTGAATGAATTGAAGAATTGATGAATCGACATATATTTATTTATTTCAATCTCATCTATGTAAAATACATGTATATAGCCATTCTATAAGTATTATAAGAGACTAAACATCTAAAACACTATATCACACATAATAAAAATCAACATTTACCAGTGTTACACAGCTGCTCAAATATTAAGGTCTTATTTTGTTTAAATTATTGACAAATGGTTAGTGAGTAAATTTGAAAGTGACACGTAATAACATGCTAATTAAAGTTAAAACGTCAAACACTGGAAATATTTCCTTTGTACATTTTTAGAATGTATGTCATGATAATATAATTGTTGCAAATACTAATATCATTTCTTACAGTTTAAAATTTTTACTATATAAAGTATTATTTCTAATTTTAAATATATCACAGCGGGAGTTTGCGAGAATTCTAACCAGAACATGCATACAAATTATCATTATCAGACATATCATAAAAACTATTGTCTACAGATTGAGCGTTCTCATAAATGACGTCACGTATTTGATTATATATGGCATTGTAATAAAACATGCATTGCTGTCTCAGTAAACTCTTCCCAAAATGGACATCCTCTTTCAGCTACAGGCATGTTAGTATAACGTCCAGTTTCTATTTTTAGCGGCGCAACACCACACCTGAATTTGTTTAGCGCAGACATATGACAATATGGTAATTGTAGTTTACAATATAACTCAGTACCATAACTACTCTTAAACAATCTGGATGTTTCTATGTTTATTGCGGTTAATGCCATTTACACCTGTGTATCTATTCAAATCAGTTTGGCATTGAGCAATATGACTTTAATAATAATAATAATAATAATAATAATAATAATAATAATAATAATAATAATAATAATAATAATAATAATAATAAAACCAATGTTTTAGCTATTTATTTCTCATTTCTATATGTTTGCTTCTTCTGGTGTGACATTTACAGCTCGTAGTTTTATAGAAATTTATCATCAAGGCTACACAAAGAATGGAAAGTCAAACAACGATTTATATTGTCAAAGTTTAAGTGTTGCTTGATTAAATACCGTTTTCCTAAGGCCAAAAAATTATTAACAACATTTTAATTATGTTATTTATACCCAAATATTAATTTACAAAAAAGTTTTCAGTTTCTACATGTGTTTGACATATATTGTAAGTCGAAGACAACACGCCGTGAAATCGTGCACATTGTTCTCAAACGAGAACATTTATTGAATGACTTTCTGAGATACCGCAAAATCCACGCATGTCTATTGTACCAAACTTAGAGAAATATGGTCACAAAATTGTATTGTTTTAACACGACAGCCAACCAATTTTTTCATTAGATGTACGGTAACATGATTTCTTATATTTAAAACAAAATATCTCATATAAAGTAGGATTGATGTAGAATAATAATGATACAATCTGACACTTTACAAACCCACTTATTGAGAATTGTCAATTTCATCATATCAATAAAGTGACAAAGTGTCTGCTTTCTCCAAATGATGATATCTGAATGATATAAATTTAAACTCATCATAGCACATATGGTGTTGTTAATAATCAAAGACCTTGTTTATTTGTTTCCTTCGAGCTGATCCATTTGTTGTTAAGCTTTTACACTGGATACACCAATCTAAGGTAAATATACACATATTATTTCTTCCATCTTATCATTAATTACATCATATTTCAAATTGTTTGTTTGTTTTGTTGTTTTGTTTGTTGACTGGATTTTAAAGGATTTGAAAACAATTTTTGTCATATCTCAACGGCGGGTTCTCATAACCTGCTGTCCTCCTAAACAAACAGGTAATTACCAATTTCTCCGCACCTGCCCGGCTATTACTTTCACACAATTTCTGAATCCACCATGAGAGACAATTAACCATTAGATTCAATGGTCAAGATCAATTGTCGCGGAAACTTCTCCTCATCTGTCGATAAGCAATAAGTAATTCTTGGAGATAAGCAATAAGCATTTCTTGAATTACAAACCCTTTGCTGTCCGTATTGAGCAAAGCAAGCGGTCATTTGTTTTAATGCTTTTATATTTCAAATTAGGTCAATAAAAATATATAACCATTTGGATTGACTTACTTATTGATAAATTTAATGACTCACATAATAACTTATAATAGGTAGTTATGTTTGAAGCAGCATCTCCTCTGAAACCTACCAAATATAAAACTTACAAATGTTAATATGAACTGTCGTACATAAAAAAGGAAAAGCACGTAGGAGGTGATAAAGAAATATACAAATAGTTGAATTGAAACGCTATCTTTAGTGCGCTCTTATTCCGATTTTAGTGAAAATCATTTAACATATTTTCGGCACTTTCGTACATTCAACATGAATGATTGTTCTGGAAAATAACAGAGTGAGCGAATATTCTGAGATTTGCACAAAATAAATTACTTATTTAATATTTACATTATATTTGGAAACGAATTGTTGTTCGATCCACGAGTGTGTGGCGAGATTTTTTTACGACAATTGATCTCGGATATTGAGTATTTATAAATATCTCGCAAAAAGATATATATATTATGAATATAATTTTCCGTCCCGTAATGTCAAACATTCACAGTGGAGTTTGCTAGAATCATTCGTTTAATCAGTGTTACAAAGTTGAACGTCTAAATAATGAAAAATGACTTCCAACGAACGAAACGGTGACAATCAAATGTTTCAAGTTTCAAGTTATATTTACATATTCTCAGTCTGCATACATACAAATACAAAAGATAATACATATACAATTAGCTGAATATAATATTTGAAAAGAGAGCATCCCATGTTCTTGTTCTTTTAAAAGATAAGTTGTTTAAAAACATTTTGTTTTAGTTATCAAATAAGCGCGATCATGTAATTCATTTTAATTTGTCAGATTTATAGCCTTTTTAGATATTTGTTTGTTTTTGCTTTTACTTTTTCTTAAATATCAGTTGTTTTTCTTGTATTTTTCAATTAACAGAACAGAACAGAACATAGTTTATTTCATAACTTGTACACACATAGGTACATCGTTATAACAAGCATTTTGAAATATAATTTTACGTCACATATTTTACAATTACACATAAAAAACCTATCAATGCAATACTGAGCAATGGGATATTTAATACATACAATGTAATACATTACGTATACTAACATACTAACAAAACTCCATTAATCAATTATATATTCATATCTATAAATTACTTCTGTAAATGAATAATTAACAAGTGTGGCTCTTTTTGTCTTTATAACTGGCGCGTGTAATCTATAAACAGGGCATTATCTAAATATTTTAAGTAATTACTGTAAATAAACCTGTATTTCGAAACAACGATTGTACTATTAAAGACTATTCATATTGTTTTATTGTTTTATTTACAAACAGTTGAGCACTTCTGTAAGCACATTTTGACTATCAGGAAGTGATCTGTTGATCATATCTATTGAATTACAATGTAGTTCGTGTCAATTTATTAAAATATTGGTCCTTTAAGACAAATTGAGCAAAATACGTGTGGTAGAAGTAGAGAAAGGGAAAATATTCAAACATGGTAGAATGTAAAAAAACTAAGACTCTTCGGCTAAAAGTAAAGACACAAGACCAAGAGATGAGCAAAGCTCAGCACTTTTGTTTCCTTTGGCTTATATTAAAGTGACATTATGCTCATTTAGTTCGTTGTTAAGTTGAACAGAATTGAATTTGGTTATATATTTAAAAATACTGTGTATAATAATGGTCATTGACCAAAAATTGATAATGAAAACTGTTACTGATAAAATTTAACAAATATAAAAAGACTGCCTCACTCGTTTCATCAAGTATACGTTTACGATTCATTTCTAAGGATATTTAAAGAATTTTCTGTGAATCATATGTATTTTTTTTGATACACATGACCTGGACTATTAAATTGAAGACATTTCTGTCAAAGTGTAAAGTTATTTTGACTTTGATCAGTAGATTTAGATGGGCATAATTTCATTTTTAAACGATTGATGTGAGCTAATCTTCTCAATCCAATAACCATGTGTTTAATATAATTAAAAAAAAAAACATTTTAAAACACCGAAATGGTTTGAAATGTATTCGATCATCATAATGTATAACAAGCGTACGGTTTTTTAAAATTGAATTGGGAATCTTTTGGCATTAAATTTAAAGGTCATGGAAAATAATAAATATATAGGTATATTCTGGTTTCCTAGCAGTTTCCGGTTCAAATCGAACTTTTAAACAATTGAAATAAAAATATGTCTACGACGAGTACAAAAAAAAAAATCAAAGTTAAGTACCTGTCAAGCATAACCATGTTTTCAATGTTTACAAAATTTCATAGCAGTTTTACAGACCTTCTTTATTTTGAATATAACTCAATACCAATAAGAAATATTAAGATGATTTTATCAAAGAAATAGAACTTCCCAAGTTCCTAATCTTTTTCACGTCGTCTTCAATATATTGTTCAAAAGTATTTATTTACCTAGAATGGGGTATCATTTTTTGCGCATAGCCATTCAAACTAGGAGTCCGAAGGTGGTGCTTATTTTTAAACGTGGCATGTTCTCTAAGGTAATTTTAAACAACAGACCAAACTTCCAAATATATAAATCGCCGTATTTTTGTAACTGCTGTGATGCATAGAAAACAAATGTCTCTCTGACTTAATGAAGTAATGTAAATGCCCTACTGGTAAAAAAGACCACACTGGACGAAAATTATAAAGGGCCGGGAAAATGCTAGGGGCCAGAAACTGCCAGGAAACCAGTATAGTTTTAGCTTGCTGGTGAAAAGAACACATGCATCAAACATTCGTTATCTTGAAGCAGCGAAATAGAACCATTTGGGGATTCAAAATCATGGCAGACAGTAAAAGAAATACGATGTAAACGCAGAATGAAATTGACATGGAAGACATTATATGAAACCATAAAAGTGACGGTATGCTTATTATTTCATTGTCAAGTTGAGGTGAATTGACTATATAATATAATTCAAAAGATTGACCAACAGTAGGTACAATAAAAATATATATGCCTAAAATATAAAAAGTCTGACCGACTCTTCTTTATAAATTAAAGGTTAGAGGTATATTTCGATGGATATAAACACACACTTTCTTGATGTACGAGAGTTATTCATTGTTCATGTGACGTAAATTATAAAACTGAAAGGCATTATGGCAATATGTAAACTTATTTTGACTTTCATCTGTTTAGTCACTTAAAACGCTTTAATGGGTATAATCTAAAATTAATTATGTATAACAAAAGTGTCATTCTGTTGTTCGAACATGTGTATTTCACTTATTGAGTGTTTGTAAGTTTATGTATATATTCCTTTTTATTAGAACTATATACTTCTTGTTTCGAACTTCTTAGCATATTAAGGCAATTGCACGAATATATGTTGAATTGAAACGGTATCGATACAAAAACAAAGAACAAACAAAAAACGATTGGCAACATCATTTGTTGTATTTTAATTCAGTTTCTGATCGTAAAATCTATTTTTTAATTCATCCTTGTTTATGTAAGGTAATCTTGTAATGGCGTATAAATCTTTTAGCCTGTCAGAAAACTAAGCTTGGGTGATCATCTTAACATCTGACAAAATTGCAACCATTTCACCGTTGTTATACAACTCTCGGAAAAATAATTCCAGTCCCGTCAAATCAAAAACCTTCAAAAGTCGAGTACTTTTCAACTAAAATGTCCAACAGTTGTCAATTAACATAATATATTTATTGATAACGATTTTTGGAAAAACTTTGAACATAAGCTTGTAGGCATTGGTTTTTTTATTGAATAAAGTGTTTTTGACAGTTTTATAAATATCTAAGTCTACATGTTTTCTCTTCTAACTTAACAGAAACAGACACTAGAAAGATACCTATAACCTTAAGGTATATTCAAAAAGCTTGCTTAAGTTGATTTTATTAAAACCCGATATAAACATAATTGATATTTACAAATACAAAAAAAAATAATCTACTTGTGAGTTATTAAACATAGTAGCTTTCTTCGTATCAGAAATCACTTATGTCATTTGCTGCTTGCGTCAAAATAAATTCTCAAAAAGTACACGAACCTAATGCAGTTTTATTAAAAAAAGAACTCATAACAACTTCAATAACGAAACAAAATTGACAATATTTAATCTCTTTTTTATTATCATTATAAACGTGTAACATTGATAAGACGGTATTACTAGGTGTTTTATAAATAAATTCACGACTTTTTAAACGACATTTTGAGTGTATAGTATTAATAAATAAATCCAAAAAAGGCTAGTTTATTTGTTTTTGCAGTGGTGTTCGGCAATTTTGTTTTAAACTCAAATTTCAAATAAGATGTTGGTTAAATTGCTTTATCAGGCGTATTATCTAGCCCAATATAGACTTGACAGCAGAGAACACGTTGTCCAATATAAATTTAGTATTGTGCTCAACAATGTCTTTACCTCATATTATTGTACTGAAACGTTTGGCTTTACATACGCTAAAATTATCATAAAAGCAAATTTTCTTTTTATTCAAGATGGACAACATAAAATGTAGAATTGCTTCTGTAGTTTTGATCTCGATCGTGAGCAACGCATGGTGCCATTGTACTTGTACCACAACCCCTCAGACATATGAATATATCAGTTTAGATAGAGGGCGCCAGATATCCAGAATACTTCACCACAGCGTTTGTATGGCTGTCATAGAACCTGTCGTCATGGGAACGCCATTTGACCTGAGGTCAGATTTTACAGTAGAACCTTGTTGCTGCAAAGCTTTCTGGAGACATGTGGTTAGTTCTTATGTGTCGTGAATTATTTAGTGTTGTTGTTTTACATTTTGGATTTCACCACTTCATTATTAAACTACTAGCTCTAGGTCTGGTATTTTCAGAATGTCACTTTAAGTTTTCATTTATATATTATATATCATTGACATATATTCGGATTATTCGGAAATCGATATCATATAAAACTATACACCTCATGTGTCCTTGTAAAGTCCATTTAAGTATATTAACAAAACAGTACGAAAAATAAAAGGAATATAATATGACTGTTAAATAAATAAAACAACATATAAACCAAAACAAAGGGTAAAGAAGGTATTACATTGATATACGATTATTTTATCATTTCAATTATTACTAATACCTTATACATTCTTGAAGTAATCAAGATATAGAGAATACCATACTAGTGTCTTACATTACAATGTTTAATGTGTAAATGAATAATATCTTTCTTCAATTCCAGTACTTTTAAATACATTTTCAAGACTTTAATAATAATTAGGCGAAATATTCACATTTTATTACTAGTTTTTAATTAATAAGGAAACGCACGCAAAGATCAACGTGCCTGGTTTTTGAATGGCTTGCGGATATAGATCTTTCTTTTTTCCGAATTGAAAGCTAATCGTTTCAAATTTCAAAGAGTTTTAAGTGTGTCTAATGCAAAACGAATCACTTTCCTCGTGCATATAGTGAGTACCATGCATATTCCTGTCATGAACTGATATTTCGTCACCTAGGAGTATATTTTAATCGTGAGCAAAAAGTTGCCAAATCAGGTACAATAAACAATGAGAAAGGTACCTAAAACTATTTATCTACAAAAAAAAGAGTTTAAAAAAGTTGCGTTAAAAGTGTATTTTAGTGTATACTATTTCTATAGAATTTAGATGTCTAACATATCCTTTTAATTTACAGAACCTTTATGAACCCGAAAGTTTTCCAATAGATTTGTATATTAAAACGCCTTACAGTCTTTGGAATTTAGAATAGATAGTTCCAAGATTCAAAAGGTTTAGATTACTCAAAATAAATCAGCATTGAATTATTTCTGCAAATTTGATTAACTTGGATTAAGAGCATAGGTGCCTCAGAAACGAATACCGGTATTTATTTCTTACTATAGAAAGGGCAAAAATAACGTTCAAATAATGGTTTAGAGCTAGTTGCAACTTGCCAATAGTTTATATTTGACTTAACACTGATTGCTAAAAGATATACTATGTTCATCCTTGAGTAAAATATTTAAATCACATAAATTTATTGAAATCTTCATAATTCTTAGTGAATATGGCTATTTTGAATAAAATAATGAATAAACTATGTATGGCAAGCTTCGTTCCCTATTAAAGATCAAGTACAATTGGTCATTAATTTTCTTAAAAAGAAACTGTCAGTTTTTTTTTAATGACACTCTATATTTATACTGTGACCACCTATAGTATGTAAAGTTTACATAACATATCTACTTTGTGAGAAGTCAAAATATGTTGTTTTGTATATTTACAAAGAAACTGCGAAGCAATAAACAATATTTTCTAATATCAAATTTGAGCATAGTAATCTTTAAATAACTAGTTTAACATTCATCTTATTTCTTTGACTATTTTATAGCAGCGTAAGTTTCTTGCATTAATGACTATCATTGTTTCTGATCAGTAAATCTGTAACTAATAATTTCAAGTAGCCGAAAGGACAAAGGAGTTACCACTGTTTTACGTAATTGTAAATGCAAAACGAATACTATTACTTATTTCAAACGCATCCAGTGTTTTATATTGTTATACATGTAACTGCAGATATTCTATGACAATGGATCAGACAATCTAGAATAATCATTTGACAATTTATGTGCGTGCAGTTATTGATAACATTTTAACTAAGCCAATACATGTATATACACTGAAAGCTTTAACGGATTTTATCTAAAAATATAAATAATAACTAACTAAACCTTTGAATTTGCATTTGTTTTATAATCCATTTTTTCTCCTTTCAGCCATCGTTGGGTAGAGGAAATGTGCTTTATGTAAAGACAGTTTATCATTGCGAAACTATCAACTGTTCCAATCACGAATGAAATAAAACTGATTTTATATATAGGTCCGATTACAGAGTTGTTAAAAGCACCATGAGTTCACGATGAAAGACATTTGCTTGTTTTCTTTGTATATGGATCGTGCCGTACATCGAAATAAGATCTTTCGAAGATGGCCATACACGTATTTTCATAAGAAAATTATTATTTGCAAAAAGTTTCCTTTGACATGAGAATATGATACAAATATCCAAAGATAATTTGTATCTTTTAAACTAAAACTGATAAACGACTATGGATAATACAGTTTACAAACAATGAATGCAAAATAAGTATAACTAACATATTAGGTAGATTTTTTCAAATTAAACTGCGTTTAAAATCATTTATGTGTGTGTTGTTTTTTGTTTGTTTGTTATTTTTCTTTTCATTGTATTTTCACAGTCCTTGTGTTTACATTGATCTTGAGAGAATTCTTTATTATAGAATTTATAGACTTACTGCTATGACTGTAAGTTGTTTTTTTTGTTGCTGCAAAATATCGCAAAAACTGTTTTGTCACATGTTCCACTTGGAGCATCGATGTAAACAGGTGAAAAATCAATTGATGCTTAAACCGGTGCTGGGTGCATTAGAGGTGCATTAGAGGTTGTAAGTGCACTTTTCACTGTTAAATAATCAGATCAAATTATATCAATTCTGCGATACTCAATTTTTTGTTTGTTTCACTTGCAGTAAATACAACATAATCACTAGCTAGAAGTGTCTGGCAAGCATTTCCATGATGCATTTAGACGTTATCTGGGCAGACATGCAGTTGTTGTTTCTATTAATATTCGCCACTAAACCATTCGAGCTCGGGTTGGGGACATGGTTGGAATCCGGTCTGCGTGAATCAGTCAATTGTAACCTCCTCCCATAAAAGGCCAAAAAACATTAGAAAGAGGGCATAATCAGGATTCACACAGTGGTTTAAAGTGGTGGCGTGACCGAGTGGTATAAACAGTCCGGACAAGTATGCTAGGAACTGCAAGTAGCTGGGGTTTTAGCCCTGTCAGTGGCAAGCCAATGTTACCATAAGCAAGAAACGTTTCATTCGTTCATTTGTACTGGTTGGTTCCAGAAATGAATTTAAGAGTGTGTCTGTTAAGCGTACTGCATACGAAATAAAATGCATGTAAAGAATGCATACAGTAACGTGCTGTACAGCGGGAGATATGATGTTCATTAGGTACAAATGTCGCCATCTTACCGTTTAACATTTTGAAAACAATACCATAACAACAACAACAACAACAACAACAATTTATATTTTATATATGAATGATCAATTTTTAAGTGATGACACACTAACATATACACACAAATGTAAAATAAGAGACGACAATAACAAAGGCAATATCACTACAATACGTACAAACAGTTAGCAAGATGCGTTACAGATGGACTTTTTCAATTAAAGCAACAATATTTTCTACCAAACATGGGTTTCAAACTACAATTGAATAGTATCGTATATACTGGACAATTCCATTGTAGATTCTGTCTCGTACACATTATTTCGACTTCCTCTTGTTTTTTCATTATCATTTTGATTGACAGACTTAACAGGTATTGATGGCATCGAATGTATAAGTTTTTCTTTGAAAAGCGAATCATCAGCTTTAAGATATGATTTCGTATAAAGAATGCTTCTCAAAGTTAAATCCATTTTCGTTTGAAGGAAAGATTCATTTAATATAACGATCAGTAACCGCTTGTTTTTCTTACGCATTGCTGAATAGTGTGCACTCCTAAATTCAAACGTTCCCCATCGGCTGTTCATAAAATTCTCTGACAGTAAAATGATAATTACAGCACTGTTGTCAATTGTTTCAAGAATAGATTCAGCGATGTCTTCTCCAACCGGGAAGTCTCGATAATATATGCAAATATTGTACTTTGGTTCAAGCATGGGTATTAGTCGATTTTGAACAAAAACAATATCTTCTTCCGCAAAACATATGAAAGCATCATATTTCCATTGAACATTTTCGTCTGTCTTGTTCGTGCAACAGCAGGCTAATCTGATATTCCATCTATAAAAAGCAATAACCTGAATTTCGTACCTGAATTTGAAAAATAAAATCGCGATTATACAAGTAACAAAAACTATTGCTGCTATTGGAATACCAATTTTCATTACTACATCTTTCAGATCGGAGATGAAGACAAGGTTTGTACAATTTTCTAATCGAAACGTTGACAGAGCTTGGCCATTTTCACATCTTGTGTGATCAACTTTAACCGTGCTGCTTGTATTCAACCAATTAATAAGTTGTTTGTTTTCACAGTCACATCGTAGAGGGTTTCTAGACAGATGTATGTCTTTAAAGGATTTCAGATACAAAGGTTCGAACACTTTCAAACTATTTTCATCCAACTTAAGAAGTGTTAAATATTGACAATGTGAAAATGTTCCTTCATCTATTCTTTCTATCAAATTACTCCCTATATCTAGCCAAACTAATTTAGTGCATAAACTATTCATAGCTGTTCTTGGTAAAGTTTTAATTTTATTATTGCGCAGAAATAAATGTTCTACGTAGTGCAATTCATCAAAATTACTAATATCATTAATGAGATTATAACTGAGATACAGATATACAACATGTTTGTAGCAAGATGCACTGAAATAAACAATCTCATTATGCCCCGCATCAATGTCCTTAAGGCTTGTGATACTGGAACAGGCTTTTCCATCGTCAGGTCTTGAAAATATCGGCATCAGGTGCAGCTTATTGTCTCTAACTTTAAAGTATCTGAATTTCCTTGAAGATATCAATAGACGGGTAACGTTTGATAACCTGTTTTGCTGCATTTCAATCTTATCTAGGTTCTCGCAGTTTGCAAACAAATCTTCGTCCACTGATTCTATATGATTTCCGTCCATAAACACACTTTTTAGCGAGAGTGCTTTACGAAAAAGTCCTTTAGGCAAGTATCGGATGTAATTTCTTGACAATTTTATCGTTCTGAGATTAACTGAAGAATCAAATGTACCAGCTTCTATAATTTCTATTTTATTGTTTGAAAGATCAAGACTACGAAGACTTGATAAATTACTGAATGTTTCATAAGAAAGCTTCTTCAATGCATTATTTTTTAAATTTAATAATTTCAGAAACTTTATTTCGGAAAGCTTCCCCGTTATTGATGATATGGCATTGTCATAAAGGTTCAATGTGTCTAATTCCAATCCACTGAATGTCTTTGAGACGTCAATAGCCTGCAGACGATTGTTTCCAAAATTCATGTATCGCAATGTCGTGTTTAAAGATGTGAAAATATAATCTGGTAAAAACCTAATGTAATTGTTCTTTAGATCAATCGTAATAACATCTGCTAAACCTTCAAATGGTTTCTTTGATATCGTGCGAATCGAGCAATTTGCCAGGGTTAGAATACCGTTTAATTTAAATGACTCAAAATTAACATTAGAGAGATCTCCGATATTATTGCCATCTAAAGACAAAGAGTTTAACGTGCCAGCTCGGCAATTGGAGTTATTTCTCTTTGCTTCTTTGATATCACGTATGCTATTGTTCTTAAATGACACAAACGTAAGCCTCGGGTTTTCGCAAAATAGATCACTGGATATTGACTCGATGTTACAATAACTGAAGTTAATCCAAAACAAATTTTTCAGAGGTTTAAATACATCTGGAGTCAAATGCAATAAATATTTGCTAGATATTTCAATCGTGATTAATCTTGACAAGCCTTTAAAGGTATCTCCGGTTAGCCTTTGGATTATGCAATTTGAAATCTTCAAGTATTGCACCATTTCTAAATATAGCCCAATATAGCCTCTGCTGATCTCTAACATAAGGGTAGAGTTTTCATAGCCCCCTTTGCATTCAAATGAGAGTAAAACTGTTTCTTTTACAAATGTGTTCCAGGGAAAAATCTTAGAGTTATTCAACACGATGCTAGACATTTCGTCTTTGTTATGCTGTCTCACATAACTGATTGTTGAGTGCGAAGGTATAAGACGGTGGTGAAACGATAAATGCCATACTGGTGACCAAACCCAAGTTATTTGCAGCTCTTTATCCTCTCCAGCTGCAGATTTTAATGACGTAATAAGGAACAACAAACTAGATATCAGCAATAGGTTCATTTCTCCTGTAATAATCATTCTCTTTATTGTGTTCGTTTATTTTGTAAATTGTTAGAATATTTACCGTTCCAGTTTTATACTGTGTTCAAAATAACTGTGATTATACGCTTGTGGAAGGGTCTGGTGTGTGAAGCTTACTTCATTCGAGTGTTCAACCTGTATGTAAAATAAAAAAAATAATAGAAGGCCCAAGCAAATAAACATATTTGATATATCTTTCGTTAATTATGCCACGCGCGGAATAATATTTGTTGACAAATTAAACTATAATTAACATCAAATATTTACAACTATTGCAAGGTGGTTGTAATATAAGTGGTTTTAATATTACTTTTAAACAATCCAAGACTGCATTAAGCAAAGAAACCTTACTTACAACACTATTTATTTAGTCTGACATAAATCCTAGGAACAACTAAGTATATATAATATTGTAAAAACTTACCACTTATTCCCTCCGACTTTTGTCTACTGCTGCAATGCTATGTGTCTCATATCGAGCGCTGTCGGACTTTATGTAGAGTGGTGAATGTCAATCTGGCGCCACAACAAGCTGTATGCAAATATTTTCAAATTATGAAAAATTTAATTCCGGATATTGTGGATTCAAATAAATTGTCAATTTACTTTTTATATGGCACCGTTTTTAATAAAAACAAGTCTTTAATTAAAGTTTAATTCGAAATTGAACTTTGATAGTAAATGCTGTGTTCATATATTTTACATGCTATACCTTTTCAAACAAGCTCAGTCGTTCAGATAAAATGATAAAATATTGTTTAAATCTGTTGAAAAGTGAAATTTAGCAGCGATGAATGTCGTTGATAATGAGTTTAAATGGGCCTGAGTAGATGGTGCAAAACTAGAGTGCTGGGTAAAAATATACTTCATATGAATATAATATTAAGCCTCGGGTATCAAAATGCTCGAACCCCGTGTATGACATTTGTTCTGGGTATAAATACATAAATGTTGAGTGCCAGGATTGAACATCCGTCGATTGTCAGGTATAAAAAAACAACCTCAAGTATCGAATATAAAAAATGAAGTATCGAATATGAATAAAGAACCTCAGGATTATGGAAACCTACAATGCCGTGCTTAAAACGATTTTTTAGACATTTTTTGTCTATAACGTTTCTTTAAATCGTTGGGCTATATCAAGGAGTTTTTAAACGCTACCAGCTATCGACTCGGTCAATATGTCATCTGCAGGTGAATACCGAATCATATTCAATGGCTCACTAGTCAATATTTGTATAATATTTGTCTTAAAACACAGCAGCAAAAGTGCAATACAGCATTTTAGGTGTTGATAACTATGCACCCTGGATATTAAACTATGTTAAGCAGCTCTTTGGTCGGTTGTTACAACACTTATCGCATAATATTTGTTCATTAAATACAAATATAATATCAAAAATTCTAGATTAGTATATACCTAATAGCGGAAGTTGTTTCTTAATTAAGTCAACATATCGAAATATTATTACAAACAATATTTATCCTTTTCTGGGAAATATGACAAATATGTTTAATTACATTGTGCTTGACGGCGATTGTTTCCTTGTTACATGATAAGGAATGGCCTGGAGAACATTTGTTGACCAAAGTATCACATTTGTTGACCGCAGTATTAATAGCTTTAATTTCGAACCAATTCGTTTCAACCTTATGGGGTCGAAATATCAAATAACGAAAAATAAGGCTAACAACAGTATAGAGCCTTGTGAGACATTCTTGGCTCTTTATTGGTGGCAAAGGCTTATCATTTTTTGGTTCAGCAGGAACAGAACTTGCAAGAATTTTATTAAAGCGGCTCTCCTTTAGAAAAGGCAAAGATAAAGAAAATAGGCCTGCTTGAAAACAGTATATAAATGTTATGATATTTAGAAAAAAAATCCCAATTCAAGTGATATTTTGAACTATTTGGTAAAATATGACTAAATTTACTACATTTAATCACAATATTTCCACTTCAGGAGTAAGTGATACTTCTGTTTGTTTTGGTTCATGGTGGACATTTAATGAATGCTTCCGATTATGTTACTTAATGTGTACATTTTTCTTAAATCATAAAAATTAAATGGATACTAAGACATATTGCTTTACTGTTAATAACGACATACATGTATTCATCAAATGAGCCGCGTCACGACAAAACCAACATAATGGGTTTGCGACCAGCATGGATCCAGACCAACCTGCGCATATCCGCGCAGTCTGATCAGGATCCATGCTGTTCGCATACAAACCCTATTACAAGTAGAGAAACTAATAGCGAACATTATGGATCCTGGTCAGACTTCGCGGATGCGCAGGCTGGTCTGGATCCATGCTGGTCGCAAACCCATTATGTTGGTTTTGTCGTGACACGGCTAAAATGTTCATTACCTTTTCGATTTTGACGTTGATTTATTAGATAAGGTCTGCAATTTTTTTAAATATATGAATAATACAAGAGAAAATAGGTTTGTGCGAGTATATACACATATACGGAACACTTCGCCTTTAACTTAAACAAACTCAGAAAGCGCAACAATTGCTGGACATGCATAGCAATCGCAACTTTTCGGCCCTTCCCGTCATTTTTCGGATATTATTGAGATGGGGTATGACTAAAATAAGCAATGGAGATTTTTTGACGCAACATGTTTTAGTAAAACAGGCACAACGTATGCTTTTTTTAATGAAAATAATTAAAATCTAAGTAATAAAACAGATTAACTGAGTGAAAAGTAACTTTGTTTTAAGATGTATCACAAATTGTTGCAACAGCTAGGTTGTTTTGAAGGATTCTATGCTGGTAAAATGGCCGCAAAATGGACAAATTCTTGGTGCAACGGAGATATTTTCTGTAAAGGGAACACTGTATGGTTATAAATAACATTATTAAACTAAAATAAATTATATAATTATATTAAAGTATTTGGATGTTATACATGCGCGAAATGGACATATTCTCAGCGCAACGGAGATATTTTTGTATAAAGGGCACAATGAATGTTTACATATTACAATAAATTATCAAACTTACATTTAATCTATATATTGAATATATGAAAGTTTGTTTCAAAATTCAATAGGAATATTTTTATTATCATGTTTTGAAGGGTTATATATACCATATGTATTTTGGCGCAACGGAGATGGGTTTTTTTGTACAAAGGGAGCAATGTATGATTATAAGTTACAACATTACTATCAAAATAATATTCTTTATATTGAATGTATTGAATATACCATCATACAGTTTGTTTTAAATTTCAGTGGGTAAAATTCTAATGTTTTATATTTTGTGTATTTTGAAGGGTTATACTCTATATACCGTCAAAATGGACATATCCGGGTGTTCCGACTGGCGTTGCAACGTGATATGTGGTCCGATAATTTGCTGACTGATGTGTACTTTGGTAATATTCCGATAATAAACATTACTAATCACAAGTGTGATTCGATTATTTTCATAATATGTAATGGCGAAACGTGTGTGTTTTGATAATAAACAATATCGTGTATTTCGATAATATGCATGCATTCTGACGTATGTTACGATATTACATTTGTATAATGACGTGTATTCAGAAAATGTAATAGCGTGTATTTCGATAATGTAATGAGGTGCATACCGATAATATACATGAACATGTATGAGGATGTGTATTTCGATAATATAATGAGGTGTCATGTATTTTAAGTGTGGGGTTACCATGGCGATAAGAAACGCAAACGTTACTGGTAAAGTATAAAACATGATATAAAATAATAAAAAAAAACTTAATATTTATAACTTATAGTATCATAAACAAATTCCGAGGGTATTAATAAATCAACCGGTAAGTCATTGTAACCTGACAAAGATTTTTGATAAAACCTTAAACATGCTGATGAATATATTATTTTTGTGAAAAATGCATTCTATTAATTAAGATTGTACATCGTGACGCTCCCTTGTCTGGTTTCCTGCCTACATTTATATAAGGTAGCACTCCACAGTTAATTTCAAGTTCCTGCCGTCAATGTCCTACAAGCAATACGTCTAATAATTCTGATACCAAACTACACAACCTGGAAAAAGAAAACACATTTTGTTGAGAACATATATGACATAAGATTGCAAATCTACAAAGAAATTATCCCATCTGCAATAAGCAGGCAGTCAAAAAATTTGCAATTCATTCCGTTGAAGCCCAAATTCGACAGTGGCCCGAGACCCAAAACAACACATTTCGACCCTCTGGCAAAAAATATCTGCAAATATACAGGCTAAAGGAACACCGTCTCTGCTTTAGCAACTCCCTATACATGCAAAATATCACAAAGAAACTAGTCCTCAACCTTGTAGATTTTTTGCTACTGCTAACAGTTTGTACCCCCCTGTAAAATGACTTTTTTTTTACCGTGCATTCTGTATAAAAGCAATGTTTACAAAAAATGGCGGCCTTGACATTCATAATCAACAGCATGTGATTTCTGGCCATGTTTTCGAATTTGCCAGTGATCATATTAGATGTCACAAAAACAAATTTTATGCTGAAAATGCATTTTAAAGAAAACCAGTCATTTAAATCCAGAATATTCACTATATCCAAGAAATCCTCCCTGGCCATTCGAAGCTGTGGCTTACATTACTGTGGTGTGCTACTAACGTAGTAGAAGGGGAAGGAACTCCAGACTAGGCGCTCCCATGCAGGGATGATAAAATGATGTACAAAAAATCAGTATTTAAGTATGGGCATGATGAATTTGAAGACGTCGGTAATTCTACTCTAATGCCCGCTCGTGCCTGAAATAATGTTATAAGGGCCACCTGATATCTTTCTACTCTATTAAATCTAGAAAATCAATCTAACCGAGTCTGTAACATTTTCAATGTTGCCGTTTTTTGGGGATTCTTTTTGTTTCTATTTTACCACCCTAAAATAAAACGTTTAGTCTCATTTATTTCACATCAAGCTCGCAAATACACTAAATATTGTTGGGGCGCATTCTTATCTCTTGCTGTAGAACAGTATTTATAAAATACATGTAGTAAAAATTATTTTACAATCTCAAAATTCTGACATTAATGTCGCCGGTAAAACGGTTTGGCGATGATGGTGGTGTCAATGGTGTCAAAACTTGAAAGCCAGTTTCATTTTGTGACCCATCTCGGCAAATCACTCCGTAATACCGTGAATATGGTGCAATTATTCAATCGCAACTTCTCGACCATTTCCGTCAACCTTCGGATAAGCTAGGGCGAAGTTTTCCGAATGTCAATCAGTGTCACAATGTTCTGGATAAACTGACGCGGAGATAAAAGAAAGCAACTTCCAGTCAAGTTGTTGCTCAAACATTTCTCTTTCTGAGAGGAACTCATAACCACTAACCCTAAACTATAACCCTAACCCTGGAAGTAATCTGAGTGATTTTGTAGGGAAAAAAATGGGTTAATAATATTGGTTAAATAATATATTATTAAAAATGGCCACGGTCTAGCGCAGGGATCGAATATGAATGTATCTTTGACAAAGTCTACGTATGCACTTTGTCTCAGACTTATAAGGCTTTGTGTGGTCTTTTCCGTAAGCCTGTCTCACACAAAACACGGTTGGGCACACGGTTCCCACACGGTATACTCGGTTATACACAGATTGACTGGTACGAGTATTTAGCTCCAACCGTGCCTGGGGATTAGTTGGCACGAGTTAGACCCGAATGTAGCACGAGCATGTACGAATAAAGGACGGATATACTGGGTCAAGCAAGGTTGAACACGATTTGCATACGAATACATACGATTGTTGCACGTTTCAAAGTACGGTCTATAGTACGACCTGGTACGATTAAACTCGACTTTTACTCGATTTACTCGACTTCCACACGGTAAACATACGGTCCCGCCGACTTTTGTTCGAGTTATGCTCGAATTATCACATATTCGTGTACGTTAATTTATTTTGATATAAATTGACACATTCTGATGGCTTGGCTTATAAATTTTCGAAATTTCAACGAAGCACACCTATATATGTGAATTTTGGTGCCAGATGCAACAGATGACAGGATAATGGAATGAGAAATCATGGTAAGACTTATAGACATTGGAGGGTCCTCCTGCTCATCAGGCTCGACAGGGTCAGAAGGTTGGAGTGGTCGGCGGGCCTGGATGACCCTTCTTGCATCCCTTCTGTGCGTGGGAACCTTCTTCTTTAGATACATTCTAGTATGATGCAGCAAGTACTCTGAGTAGATCTAACCAGTGAGGGTGGCAGCAGCTAGGTAGTTGTGGTTTAAATTTGGTTGTAAAGTTCATGTTGATGTAGAGGCTGTGTAAGACCGTGCGAGGCCGTGTGAGACCGTACGTGTATATCCGTACTATACCGTGTCTGCCATGTATGATTCGAACTTGAACCGTATTGGTCGTATGAAACCGTCTGTGCACTCGAGTGAATGGTACCGTGATCGTGTGACATTCGGATGTGTTGTATGTAGGACTTGGGGACGGTCTCGAACGATTCCATACGATTTATATACGATCTTGACACGTTTGGGCTCACTCGTGGAGTGAACTTCAAATACGGTTGTATATACGGTCTCACACGGTCTCTTTCGGTCTTGTACGGTCGTTTATACGATCATACGCGGACATTACATCCGTGCCAGTTGTTTTTTTAAGTTTTAAAATCATACATGGCTTGCAGCAGCACGGATATACTGGAATGGCCCGAGTGTAACTCGGTTAAACTCACGGTTAGTTCGGTTGTATGTACGGTTCACATGGGTGGCCAACCGTATAAGCCGTGTGTTCTGTGTGGGAAAGACCGATCTGGTGTTGTTTTTTTTTTTTTTTTCTAAAAAATACCCAACAAATTTATAAATAAAATGGGATAAAAAATTATTTGTCACAGAAACAATAATATAATAGATCTAATATAATAATTGAATGACTGAATGAATGAATGAATGAATGAATGAATGAATGAATGAATAAATAAATAAATAAATAAATAAATAAATGAATGAATGAATAAATGAATGAATGAATAAATAAATAAATAAATAAATAAATAAATAAATAAATAAATAAATAAATAAATAAATAAATAAATAAATAAATAAATTAATAAATAAATATAAGCAGGTTGTTATGATATCAGTTTAACGTGACATTAACCATCACCTTTATATATTTAGTACAGTTATTCAATGGGTAGCTCATAAATTGGACAGGCGATTCCCGCCATTTACCAGTTCTTAGATTAAACTACATTAATTCACATCTGTGTTCTTCTTATTAATTTACTTCAGAACTCCGTATAATTACAAGCCACAAAATAGAAAATATTACACAGGGTATTTCAAATCAGTAGCTTTCTCATACAACGGTACGTAACTCAGTAACTGACATTTCTGTTAATATCAAGCAAGCATGTTTGTAATAAATTGTCACTGATCAGCGCGGAAGTTATTAAAGACATGGATGAGAAGTGAGACAAAATTATATTTTGTACTAATTTTTAAGCTTGTAACATTATATAGGACACGTACAGTCTCGAGACGATGACGATTAAATTTTCATTCGTTAGAAACATGAAACACATCACATGACCTGTCATATGATTTGAGGTCACCGCCATCGGAGATTGATTGTACGAAAACGAAACTCATTCTTCTGTAAATTTTTGTTTTTACAATTGAAAGAATTAACGTTTCTGGTAAATTTTCTTTTAGATAAGTGAATATTTATATTTTTCTATATTTGTAGGAATTTCGACGGTAATCGGAGGAGAAAATCTTATCTTCAAGAGCAAGGAAGTAAAAAGTAAAGAAAAAAATGGTTGTGCAACTTTTTATTGCGGCGTTGATGATTGCATTAAGTAAGTAATTATTATGCCTTATATGGATATTTTTAGAAATCGGTGTATCAATTTTGCTTTCAGAGCTTTTTTGTGACAATACATTGTGTGTATTTAATATAATTTAGCTTTAGATCGTCTTGATTATCAAATAAAAATTGCTTCTTGAAATCCCTAATCCAAGCATTTAATTTAAGTCCTCAGTGATAGCATTTATAATATAGCATTTTGACATATAAAACTGATCTTGACCAGTCAGAGCAGTCTCTGAAATCAAGTAAAACCTGAATCCGAAAGTTGGTGCTTCTATTTTACTAAAATAGGGTATAACACGTTGCAGTCAGTCAGGGAGGAACTGGAAAGAGGGAGAATATTCTACCCTTCTACTCAGGTGCCAGTTCATGCCTGAAATAAAGCTGGAATGTCACCATATGACTGTTAGTAGGGCTTCCGTTTATGGCAGTTTGTGAGTCATTTACTTCAGTGGACTTGATGTTGGCCTGTGACTTCCAAAATCTAATACTTTTTCTTTATCTATATAATGAGACTTCCAATATCAGAGATTTTGCCGTCTCTGACTTCCAAATTTTAAATCTTAATCATAATGGAAGCCCTTAGTGTCAGGGGTGTGGTCATGATTTTTGTCACTTGCCCACAGACAAGTTCAACTATCTTCAGTTCTGCTTCATTTTGGTGTTTACATACTAGAATGAATATTGTTCATTGATAAGGCCATCATAAGGGGTATAAATGCAGTTTCATATCTTCCAGAATCCACTGGCTCAGATTTTCACTTGTCCATGGACAGTTCAATAGAAAAAATGTACTTGTCGGCCACAATAATTTCTGAGTTGGACAAGTCAGGCATAGGATTTCCACACCCCTGACTGTTTGGTGCGACATACAACACAACTGAAAAAAAAACAAGTCCTGAATCTGCTTTGTTTTACCTAAGTTAATTTTTAATCCATTTACATATGTTTGACATTGGAAAATAGCTCATGAGCTAGTGATTTCTGTTATATTAATGTATCTGACATAAAATAAATTTCATTGTTATTTTGTATCTTGCTTTCACCATGGAAGGGCAGGTCAATATCCTAATTTTTCGTCTGATTGACCCTGTAAAAGACCTATAAAAAACAACTTTAAAATGATGATAAAGTTTTCCAAAAATTCAAAATTTAAGACAGCTTTTTTTCCAAATCAGCAATTTTAGGGATAATTGTTCCAAAAATCAAGAGGCCTCTTCCCATTTTTAAGAGAGTGAATACTGCTTGACAATGGTTCCAATGAAATACTGTTCAAAGTAAAATATTGTTAAGTGAACACAAAATGTAATTTATAAACAACAAATGGCTCTGCAAAATGCCTCCGGATTCATGCTAATTTTTATTTTTAAAAAAATGTACTCGAAAGTGAAATATTGTCAAGTGAACAAGGAAAGAAATTTATCAACATAGCAAATGGCACTTAAAATCTAGGAAATGTTAATTTCAGTTAGTGATCGACTTTTCATGAAAAATAATTTATCTTGATATTTACAGGTGCAGCAGCTGACATTAAATTCCCAGAAACGGGTGACGCATGTATTCTCATCAATTTTAAGAGTAATAACAGTCTGAGTTGGACACCAAAAAATGGATCAGAAATGGTATATATATATAGATAAATATTTGTCAATAGGTTTTTACATCGCACCAATGCAGTATTGATGGTATAGCAACATTTCAGCTTAAGTAGTGGAGGAATACCTCATTAGCCCCTCTATACATTATTTGAGGCACAAACAGGCACCTGATAGAACCACAGATGTTCTGTAAGCTAGCTGTATGTATAGCTTTATCACATGAAAGAATTAGAAGACACATGCGTGGCTAGAACATTCAGTGGTGTGATGTCCATGACCGTAACCAATCAGCCACAGACTCCCCTAGAACTGGTATTAAATACTAAAATAAGTAAACATTAAAAGCTATTATCATTTTCGAACTTCCGTGGCCCGGTGTCGCGTGATAATCACACGGGATATGTTTACTATAAGCTGGTTTAATTATCACCCCTTCCTTTTGTTATGCCTTTTGTAACTTGCTTGTAAACGTCAAAGGCTCAAAATTTTGTAATTTAATAGAGACAGATTGATGAGTCGAAGTCCCAATATGTTGAAGTTTTTATGTAAGTCCCTTCAACTTCGACTTCCAAAGTTCTACTTTGTATTAAGATTGTAAAAGGTCAGATTTCACAATAAGACTATGTTCTGCAAATATAGAAGCAATGAAGCCAAGTCAGCAACTTGAAGACATAACAGTTGCCAGTGCTGGATATGATTCATTGCAGGATATTTGGATCGTCAATGATGATTAAACACATTTTGACCAATTTGAATGTATTTTTAGCTCGACTATTCGATGAGAATAAGTAGAGCTATTGTAGTCACCCCAGCGTCGGCATCGGCGTCTCCTCATAAACCGTTGAGCCAATTTCATCTACACTTCACAGGAATGTTCCTTTGGTGATCAACTTTAAAAATTGTTCAAAGAATTTAATTCCAAGCAGAACTCTGGTTGCCATGGCAACCGAAAGAAAAGAACTTTAAATCTCTTCTTTTAAAAAACCGTAAGAGCTAGAGCTTAAATATTTGGCATGAAACATCATCTAGTCAGTGTTTTCCAAGTTTGTTCAAATAAATGCCCTGGGGTCAAAATTGGCCCCGCCCCGGGGGTCATTGATTTTCCTTATTTGTATATAGTAAAAACTTAAAAAATCTTCTTTTAAAAAACCCAAATAGCTAGAGCTTAGCTATTATGCATGAAACATCTTCTAGTGGATGTCTATGAAGTTTGTTCAAATAAAAGCCCTTGGGTCAAAACTGGCCCCACCCCAGGGGGTGATAGTTTTTCCTGTTATGTATATAGTAAAAACTTAAAAAATCTTCTTTTAAAAAACCTTTAGAGCTAGAGCTTATCTATTAAGCATGAAACATCTTCTAGTGGGTGTCTACCAAGTTTGTTCAAATAAAAGCCCTTGAGTCAAAACTGGCCCCGCCCCAGGGGGTCATAGTTTTTCCTGTTATGTATATAGTAAAAACTTAAAAAATCTTCTTTTAAAAAACTTTAGAGCTAGAGCTTATCTATCAAGCCTGAAACATCTTCTAGTGGGTGTCTACCAAGTTTGTTCAAATAAAAGCCCTGGAGTCAAAATTGGCCCTGCCCCAGGGGGTCATTGTTTTTCCCTTTATGTATATAGTAAAAACTTAAAAAATCTTCTTTTAAAAAACCTTTAGAGCTAGAGCTAAGATATTTAGCATGAAACATCTTCGAATAGGTGTCTACCATTTTTGTTCAAATAAGGGCCCTGGGATTAAAATTTACCCCGCCTGGAATAATTGATTTTCCTAATATGTATATAGTAAAAACTTAAAAAATCTTCTTTTAAAAAACCCAAAGAGCTAGAATTTAGATATTAAGCATGAATTATCTTCTAGTGAGTGTCTACCTAGTTTGTTCAAATAAAAGCCCTGGGGACAAAATTGGCCCGCCCAGAGGGGGGGGGTCATTGTTTTTCCCTATATGTGTATAGTAAAAACTTAAAAAATCTTCTTAGAGCTAGAACTTAGATATTTATCATGAAACATCTTTAAATAAGTGTCTATCAAGTTTGTTCAAATAAAAGCCCCTGGGTAAAAATTGGTCCCGCCCAAGGGGCCTATATACAGGTGAGCGATTTCAGGGCCATCATTGCTCTCTTGTTTAGAAAAACTACCTGAAATTACATTAAATCAGTTCTTAAATTAAAAAAAAATACTTTTGAGAGATTAAGATGGTATCCATTTCAGTATATTGAATACAATATCTATTTCAGGCTATTCCAAACTGGAATATCTCAAAATCCACTTACAAAATTGATGATGGGAATTGCACAGGCACGCCATATGTTGTCATAAAATTCTTTGTTGACAATGCTACCATGAGATTCGATTTTAATAATGCTACAAATAATGTTGATGTCAAGATGACCTTGGATTTTGTACCAGAGATTGTTTTTGGTAGCTTCAACAACACAGATAACAGTATGTGTAGTTATTAGAAAATTATGGATTTAATTTTTTGCAGCAGGTGGGATGAATGGGAAGTGGTGCTACATTTCAGTGTGAGGGCGATTGATAGGGAAGTAGTGTTGGATATCAGGGTTACAGTGATGGGTAGGGAAGTAGTGTTGGATATCAGGGTTACATGGTTTTGGGTAGGGAAGTAGTGTTGCATGTCATGGTCAGGGGATGTATAGGGAAGTTAAGTGTTGGATGTCAGGGTTACAGGGATGGTTAGGGAAGTAGTGTTGGATGTCAGAGTTACAGGGATGGTTAGGGAAGTAGTGTTGCATGTCATGGTCAGGGATGGAAAGGGAAGTAGTGTTGCATGTCAGGGTTACAGGGATGGTTAGGGAAGTAGTGTTGCATGTCATGGTCAGGGATGGATAGGGAAGTAGTGTTGCATGTCATGGTCAGGGATGGATATGGAAGTAGTGTTGCATGTCATAGTCAGGGATGGATATGGAAGTAGTGTTGCATGTCATGGTCAGGGATGGATAGGGAAGTAGTGTTGCATGTCATGGTCAGGGATGGATAGGGAAGTAGTGTTGCATGTCATGGTCAGGGATGGATATGGAAGTAGTGTTGCATGTCATGGTCAGGGATGGATAGGGAAGTAGTGTTGCATGTGATGGTCAGGGATGGATAGGGAAGTAGTGTTGGATGTCAGGGTTACAGGGATGGTTAGGGAAGTAGTGTTGCATGTCAGGGTTACATGGATGGGTAGGGAATTAGTGTTTATGGTCAGGGTGGCATAATGAGTGGGGAAGTGATGTTGGTGTAATTGAAGTGGTGTTGGATGTCAGGGTGACTGGATCGGGGGAAGTGGTTTTAGGGGGGAACGGGATCAAAAAGGAGTGAGGGAGGTGAGGGGTGGTTTGGGGGGTGAGATTATTTACCACCTTGAGTAAAGATTAACCCCTATAAAAGAATTTTAAGACCCATTCTGCAAAAAAGGGCGGGCCCTTTTTAGATCACCGGGCTAGCTCAAGGTGAGCTTTAGGTTTAAAAGCCCCGCGCCGTCACACTTTTTCTAAATCTAGTGGTACATTTTTGCCTCAATCATCATCAAACTTTGTCAGGATGCTTGTCTAGGTAATAGTTCAGATGAGTTTGATGGGTCAGGTGAGCAATATAGGGCCATCTTGGCCCTCTTGTTCCCCCTATCCCACGGGTCCGAATATGGGCCCCATTCCATATCCAAATTATGTTGTTTTTTCCAATCCAAAAAAAAATATTCCCAATCTAGAAGTCGGCATTTTGAAAGAAAAAGTACTGCATTTTCAATTTTAGTGACTCGAAATAGCGTTATGGAATGTATTTATGTTTTGTGAAAAAAAAAATAGGAATTTTAATTGATATCAGTTTTACATTTATACACATTTTAGCCTGTCTTTGTATTTTTGATATGACAGAAAAAACTGAACAATTGAAGTAAGATTTATGTAGATTTATTTTAACAATTGTAACACCTTTCACGATAACCTTTTTCCCAAATTGGAAAATTTTACGACACAAATTCCCAAATTTGCCATGTGGCATTTTCCCAAAATAGAGGAAAAAAGGCCCGTAAGGTATCAATATATTGTAGGTTTTCAGACAATTCTTTAGATTTAAACACATATTGTCAAATGTTCCTTAATGTGATTCTTTACATATTTCAAAATGTAAGATTCTATAAAATATGCAATCAGTTGTACCAGAATCTCATGAAAAGGCCTTTTAAACTGGACTGTTCCAAAAGTTGTGAAGGCTAGTGTACTAGGATGTTGGCGTCCAGCTTGGTTAAATTCTGCATGCAAGCTGCTATCTCCAACTACTGAAGGGAAAGAGTTGAAACGTCACATATTTTTTTAAAAGATTTAAAGTATAATAGGAGGTCACTCTTCAAGGCACATAACTCTTACCATGGATGTTGTTGGACTTATGACCTGACCCTTTGTAAACTTAAAAAAATTCTCCATTATTCAAGCTCTTGTTTTACCATTATGCACTTAGAAAAGTGGAGGGCGCTGTCCTTCCAACAGCTCTTGTTATATTTAGAATCTTTAAATCAGTTTTTTTCTGGTTAAGTTTCAAGACTTAATAGTCACTTTGTAAATTTTGTGCATTTTTATTCAAATTAATTTGTAAAGGGGTTGGGGGGGGGGAGAATGAGTTTGGTTTCAAGCAAAAATATTTCTTTTCTTGTAAAGGTACTGTGTCCATATCCACTAGCCTATATGCTGGAACTGTTGAGGAGGCATACAAGTGTAATGCACAGAAACAAGCAGCTGGTAAAGACAAGAGTGTCGAATATGGTCTTATTTTGAGATTCACAGACATGAAGATCCAAGGTTATGGTGTAGAAAATAGCACGTTCAGTAAAGGTAAGACATGTTTTGATGTTAATATATTCAGTAAGTTTGTCTGATTGATAATTTAGGGGCTGCTGATCAGACTTACAGGCAAGGTAGAAATGAGCTGCGTCACGACAAAACCAACATAGTGCGTTTGCGACCAGCATGGATCCAGACCAGCCTGCGCATCCGCGCAGTCTGATCAGGATCCATGCTGTTCGCTATCAGTTTCTCTACTTGCTATAGGGTTCATAAGTATGTTGGTTTTGTCGTGACGCGGCTCAAATGTCATCCTAACAATCCATCTCCAACATTGGGTATAATGGTTATATGTCTCTCACCGCTGATTCAGATATTGTGGGGAAATGCTGTAATTATTCGTCAGTTGCAGAGAAATTTGTAAATACTCTGTCTGTTGTTGTTTTTTTTTATCAAGTTTGAATGCAACATACATGTGGATTTTCACCAAACCTCAATTTTTTACTTCTTGAAGGGGTTTAGAAATATAGAGAAATATTTCAATAATTATAGAAATATACAACTCAAAATTTGCTACGGATCACCTTTTTGACATTGCATATTTCAGTCCTATTATCATTATATTTCCACTAATTATACACCTGTACGGGGACTTCATAATCGTTTACTTAAGTTATCGATTTGTCATGTTTCCACCTTGCACGATAAGCACGTGGAAAAGCATACCCATAGAAGTTTTGTGTTTTAATGCCATGTGCTTTCACTTAAATGTGTACAAGCAGCAAGACTTCTCTCGTATTATTGTAAAACTGTGTTCAAAATAAACAAACTATGGCAAATCGACAGGTTAGATCCAAAGAACACAAGATAAAATTGTGATGGCCTTATTCAATCAAATGAAATAAAAAAACCTTGAAAATTCAATGTCCCCTCTTACTTAAATGTCTGCACTGATTTATAACACTGATTGGACCCTGGACCTCTTCACTGATAAGTCAAGGTGTGTGGACTTCACAGACAGGCAGGCTAGGGTCTGGAGAAGTCCAAAGGAACGCTTAGCTCCAGCAGGGGTTCAGTAATGGTGTGGGTGGGAATAAGCGCTCAGGGGAAAACTGACCTACACATCGTCGATGGCAGTAAGGTATGTCAATGAAATCTTAGACGTACGCATGTATGCTGGCGCAGTCAGCCCTGATTTAATTCTTATGGATGACAATGCCGTGAACACAGAGCCCACATCACAAACCGATATCTTGAGGAGGCAACTATAGTCCGCATGGATTGGCCAGCGAGGTCCCCGGATTTAAATCCAATAAAGCATGCTTGGGATATGCTGCAGAAAGCCATTTCTTCACGCCACGTCCTACCAACAACAGTTCAGGAGCTAAGACATGCAATCATAGAGGAATGGGCCCAGATTTCTCATCACAAGGTCCGAAGGCTCATCAGTAACATAAAATGTTCTCTCATGTTAAAATGTACTGCTTTAATAAACAGTAAAAATATAAAGAAAAATAAATTGTTTTTAACAGATGTCGTCGAATGTGATAAAGACATAACAACCACACAGGAAACTACAACCGAACATATTACAACTGCAACAAACCCTCCAACTACTGCAGTCCCTACATCTGCACCGAAAGTGACACTTAAAGCAACCGACGGTAACGCTACCTGTGCAATGATGATGGGAAAATTTACCTTTATCATTCCATACAATGGCACTAAAAAGGTAAAGCTTTGTTTATTGTCAATACAGAACACCACCAACAACATATTTATTCAAATTGTAAGGCCATCAGCCTGTAATATTCTATGCAAAATGAATAGAATAGAATAAATAGAATGGAAAAATGCATGATATAGGAAATTGTAAAGCTTTGATGCAAATAGATTGGTTGGTGATTAAAAATTTCTTAAATAGTACCATACTAATGCATTTTTTTCAGGCCAAACTCAGAAAATGTTTCCTATTTTAGGCATTTGAATATATTTCTAAACCTTAAAATGTCCATTAGGATGCAAAGCAAAAGGTATTTTTATTAAATCATTATATTTTGACAGAAGGAAAGTAGAATCTATAATTTTAACAGGATGTTTTATATTACATAACATTTTGTTTTTGATTATTCAGTTAAAATACCCTAAAACCTGCTTGAAGGATTGTATACATGGTTTCTTTTTATGGATGGTTTAGATTAAGCTATTTACATGTATATGCTGTGAAAGTTTCTGTTTGAATTTAAAATGAAATCCAAAATGCTTGAATAAATATGGTAGTTAAATGTCTTAAAAGTGAAATGATGCATGCACAAAATCATTGCTGAAACATTTTATTCAGTATCCATGTGTGTTAAAGAACAGAGATATTTTATGTTACTACTCTTTCTAAAATCAACAGTAAGTTTTATGGAACCAGTATAATTTTACTGTTGTTTAATGTTACAAATATATTTCATAACAGATAGCTTTCTACCCTTTAATGTCAGGTTAACATTGTGTAATTACATAAATATCACCTAGAATCTAGGATAATATCACTTTCTATTGACTGTCATGTGACCATGTCTCCACCAATCACAACATGGGAAAATTATAAGTCACATGATAGTAATCAAAATGTGAAAGTGTTGACCGATTTACCAATTTAATGATCTTGTAAGTGTATTTAAACAAATGTCTTTATTTTTAGACATCCAAGACTGCGAATATTTATATTCCAAAAGATGTAAAAACTGAAGGCAAGTGTATGAATGCCAACAAAACAGATATTCTGACCGCTAACTTTTATGGAGACAACTTTAAGATGACCTTTGCATTTAAAGGCGACAAGGACAATATCTGGCTAGACCAATGGGATGCCACAATTGTATATGCAGAAGAATTTTTCCCTGATATAGATGCCGACCAAAGTAAGTAACTGTTAATTTAAAGATTTTCTAACAAAGCAAAAATTTCAGAAATCAGTATTTCATACTAATAGATATGTTAAATATTTACAAATTTCTATTTGTAGTTATATTAGATTTATATGGGAAAGACAAATCAAATATCTACATATATCACATAGAAAAATATTCATTTCTTATTTTGTTTCTTTGGGTGAATTCAGTGCTGTCGGTTATCTTTGGATTCACAGAATGTCTGTGTCAGTCGTCACCTTTGTTTGTCCGTGTCAGTCACCTTTGTTTGTCCGTGTCAGTCACTTTTGTTTGTCTAGGCCAGTCACCTTGGTTTGTCTAGGCAAGTCACCTTAGTCTGTCCATGCCAGTCACCTTGGTTTGTCTAGGCCAGTCACCTGTTGTCCGCATCAGTCACCTTGGTTTGTCCGTGTCATTTACCTTGGTTTGTCTAGGCCAGTCACCTTAGTTTGTCTAGGACAGTCACCTTGGTTTGTCCATGCCAGTCACCTTGGTTTGTCTAGGCCAGTCACCTTGGTTTGTCCATGCCAGTCACCTTGGTTTGTCCGTATCAGTCACCTTGGTTTGTCTAGGCCAGTCACCTTGGTTTGTCTAGGCCAGTCACCTTAGTTTGTCTAGGCCAGTCACCTTAGTTTGTCCATGCCAGTCACCTTGGTTTGTCTAGGCCAGTCACCTGTTGTCCGCATCAGTCACCTTGGTTTGTCTGTGTCATTTACCTTGGTTTGTCTAGGCCAGTCACCTTGGTTTGTCTAGGCCAGTCACCTTGGTTTGTCCATGCCAGTCACCTTGGTTTGTCTAGGCCAGTCACCTTGGTTTGTCCATGCCAGTCACCTTGGTTTGTCCGTATCAGTCACCTTGGTTTGTCTAGGCCAGTCACCTTGGTTTGTCTAGGCCAGTCACCTTGGTTTGTCAAGAATTTGTGTAAAAAATATCGTAAGGAATTTCAGATTTAAGGAATCTTGATTTAAAACAGAAAGGACTTTTTCTACATTTCTTGCATTCATATATTAATAAAACAATTCTTTTGAAGTTATTATCATGAAAGAATTTTAAGAGAAAAAAAATGCAATTTCATAAAAATGCAAGAATTTGGGAAAGAAACATGCTGGTTGCTATTGTGATTTTTTCTTATAAAAAATATAACAACAAAAAAGGACCCATTAAAACAAAAACAAAAAAGAAAGAAAGAACAAGAAAAAAGCAAACAAAAAATCTCAAACAAATGTTTATATTTATACATGGAATTTGGACAAGTCTATTCAGGAAATAAAGCGGGCTATCAGCAATCCATGTGTAGGTGTTGTGGAAAGTTATCTGTTACAAATTGATTGATAAGATAAACTTCCTGATATATCATTATCATTTGATAGGTGTACATGTATGTTGATATCATTATTTGATAAACTTTTATCTTTCTATTCAAAGTTTACACTATAGGCAGAGTAAATATATAGAGGATATTTGTTTAGTTCAGTGTAAGATTGAAATATATTTCACCGAGTGAGCACCAAAAGATATATTTCACGAGTGGCGCAGCCACGAGTGAAATATGAACTTTTGGTGTTCACGAGGTGAAATATATTTTGATCTTACACTAAACTAAACAAATTTTCTTTTTATTATATGCAAAGAAACGTTTAAAAAAGACATTTAAGCATACTTACTAAATGAAAAGGGCGCCAAATAATAATACAACGTGACGTCATTTACGACGTCACGTCATTAAGTTGGTTTCCATGATTGTGAACGCTTGTATTTCACTGAAACAACGTACCGGGCTCAAATATTCAAAACAGTGAAATTATCAAATTGATAATTTCACTGTTTAAAACAGTGAATTATCAGTTTTTATTTCACTGATATATTTCTATAAACCACCGAAAAGCATGTAATAAAAAGATGTAAACTCCAAGGCTAATGTCACTTGTGTTTTGATTGATTGAAATAAATCAGTGTTGTATTCCATCAATGATATATGAGCCACAACACGACAAAACCAACATAGTGCGTTTGCATCCGCGCAGTCTGATCAGGATCCATGCTATTCGCTATCAGTTTCTCTACTTGTAATAGAGTTGGTAAGCGAACAGCATGGATCCTGATCAGACTGCGCGGATGCGCAGGCTGGTCTGGATCCATGCTGGTTGCAAACCCATTATGTTGGTTTTGTCATGACGCGGCTCATATATTTTTCCTTCTATTATTAAAGGCACATAATTTCTTTGTTTCTGTAGAAAGGACAGACATAAAAAATTAATAACGTTTTAAATGAAGGTTTTTGAGCAAGTTATGTTGTCACTTGAAGAAAGTAGCACTGAATTTCAAATAATTTGTCAATAAATTATAATTGAATAGAATGTAAATAAAGTGCATTTAGTATTTTGACTTCCATACAAAATACTAAATCACTATAACTGTACTCATTGCCAAAAGGCAACAAAAGCAAAAGATGGTTCTGGTATTTTGCCAGTGAGTAAATTTTTGAATACTAGAACAGGCCACTAATAAAAAACTGAGAAATGAAAATAAAAGCGTTTTTGGGGCATAATGGGCCTTTAATTACATGTATGTTTTGTTTAGTGTACATGTAGTTTTAAAAATCATTTCTATGATGTAGTATGATTAATACACAAGTATATGATGTTGATTGTTTCACATATAACAATACCATCATTTAAGAAAATATTTTTATTGTTAATTGTCAAGTGATCACTTACACACTTGTTTACTTTCACTAACAGTGCATTACATTTATTCTAAAGTTTTACAACTGTTAACTATACTTAAACATGATTAACCCATGCTTGACCTGCTGAATTTCTTAAATGAACTTGTCTACCCGTCCCTAGATTTGCCACTACTTGCCAGCTATTTCCACTGAAAAGGGTGGCATTAAGTGTAAAAAAGGTGGCATTAACTGGAAAATGACAAAATTCCACTCTTTTTCCACTGTAGTGGCAAAATTGCCAATTGCATTGAGTGGAAATTTGAACATAGACTTTTTTTATGGTGGCAAAAGGGTGGAAATTGGTGAAAAATGAAACTTAGTTTATTTTGAAGGTGGAAAATGAGTGGCTTTTAGTGGAAAAGTGAAACTCTAACTATTTTCTGGGTGGCAAAATAGTGGAAAAAAACTTAGAAAATTTTGTGAATAACTTTTAGTCGAAAAGGGAAACTCTTAACTATTTTCTGGGTTGTATAAAAATTGGTGGAAAAAAACTGAGAAATCTAATAATTGTGCATTGCAGGGTTTAAGATTTATTTAAGTCAAAGCTCCAAACTGAAATAAATCTGTTTATAGTTTGTACTCTACCAAAGCATCAAGTGAACTTTTTATCAAAAATATAATTTATTGAAGTTGAACAGTTAGAAAATTTTATCAGAAACTCATATTTCTTAAACATCCTAGAATGCCATGAACACAATTCTGATACAAAGTCACTGCCTCACAGTAACGGTATGATAATTCCAGCTGTAAAGTAGCAGGAAAAGACACAGAAATTGGACGTAAAATCACTTTTCCATGCGTTAAACACATATAATTATGATCAGGAAAAATTAGAAAAGTATGGGGTTACTTAACTTCCCATTTTTTATGGCAGTACTTTTCTTTAGTGATGTAAAATTTGACTTTCAAGTCAAAATGTTTATATTCCATTCTATGCTTGTAAAATAAAATTACGGCTTTTAAAGTGTACTTTGTTCTTTAGTTATAATCTGTACATTAATTAAATAGTTGAAATGTTCTTCTATTCCCAGAAAATGCACATCTCTGCATAAAGTTTGTTGCTTCTTCTATGATATTTAATGTCAATCTTGAATAAAGTTTGACTTTTGTCTTTTCTTCTAATTGACATAATAAATTGTCTCTTCAATATTACTTTAAACTGATATCTGGTGAGTACTAACACTTTTCATGTAATGCTAACAATAATTAAAGTGAAAAATGCAAAGGGCAATAACTCCAAAAGTATGCAAAGAGTTATGGTTCTTAAACACAGCACATTACTCAAAAAGATCTATATCTGTGAAGTTTCAAATTAATATCTCCAGTACTTTTTAAGCTTAATGATCAAGACAAAAATTAAGCATAGAGAAGTAAAAAATGGCAATAAACCCCAAATCATGCAATAAAAAGTTATGGTTCCTTGGCATTGTAACTTCTCATAAATGAGATTTAGTTATATGTGGAGTTTAAAATTATTGTCTCTAACATCTTTTGTGCTATGCTTTCAGAGGCTTTAAATCTATTGTAAAAATTAATGTGTGAAAAGTAAATAAGTCATAATGTCTGATAAATTTCTTACAATCAGGATAAGTAAATACTAGCTAGTAAATACTGCATCCTCTAAGATTTAACAACACAGCATACATCTCAGATCTGATAAAACTACTGCCCTCTTATCTAGTAATCTATGAATGGGGGTTAATAGTTTACTCATGCTGACCAGAATGTTCCATTTGATTATTTTGGGAGAGGCAACATTATACATGTTTTTATGTAGAATTTGTCTTAAAATAGCATGCTAAATTATCTTTCAAAAGCTTATTTCTACTCAATCTATTTAGGTATTAGATATAGTTATACATTCAAATGAATGTAAAAAATAAAATGATGGGTGCTATGGTTTTTGGAAAATCCCTCACAATTTAAAATTATAATGGACTGTCCATGCAGTTACACCGTTGTAAAGTTTGAATTCAAAGGAATTGAGGTCAGTTAAAGCTTGCAAACACAAAGGAAATTATTGATATTGTAGCAATTCTGGAGATATTTTGTTTAAAATGTAAGGGTGCATATTTTTGATTTCTCAAAGAAAACATTTAAAGTCTTATTAGTGTGGTAAATAGAAATGAGAAGTTTTAACTGAAGTGTGAATGTGTAGACAAGAAGATAAACAGCAGAATCATTCCCAGTCAAAGTTTCAGGTAAACAAATTTTACATACAATAATTATTGTTATTTATGCAGAAACTGTTTAGTGTTTTGACAGTAAAAATATGAAGTGGTATTGTATAAAATTGTGTTTTATATTTGTTTTGTTTGTAACTTGACTAAAAAGAAAGCTGCATGTACAATGTACATATAAAGAATGTAGGAATATAAAGAATGTAGGAAGATCTTCATCATTTCTTAAATACAATATGTTAGAAATTTTAAGTTTGAGAAAAAAATTATAGAAATTAATCAGTAAGTACAATATCATTATGTACAATATTACATCAATCAAACTATAGATAACCTGAGGTACCTATTACTACAACTTTCATGCTATAAACAATTTTCCTTGTGTGTCACATGTGGAGCAGATTAATAGTAACTGATTTATTAGTAAGTTTCATTCCTTCATTGTTGTAATTCAGCTTTCATGGTGCATTAGATAATTATATAACCATAACTAGACAGTCTAGAGTAACATGCTATTAGGAGAATGACAGTTCATAACAGAAACAGCATTAAATAAGAATTATTATTTTGCAGACACAAAGCAATGAGGAGCAGCCTGGAGCAACACATTTGATCTTCAGTGGCTTTACAAAGGTATCTTGTTAATTCAAAGTTATTTTAGAATTAATAGGAAAGAAGTGTCACATTACCAATAAGACACTTTTCAGTTCTTGATAAATATAGCTATTAGTCACTATTTACAAACCTACTTTAATTCAAACTCTTTATGACACTTTAATTTGCATTTACATTTTGTTTTACAAGTTTTAGAGTTTTTGTACATTTTAGCTTGAAAATTTTATCAAATATTTATCCTGATGAAGGTTCGTTAAGAACTGAAACTGGAAGATTATTAATTACTCAACCTGCACTGGTGTTGATGTGTTGTATTTCTTTATTTCTTTCTTATTTTAAAATTTTAGAGTTGTATACATATACCAAGGTCTTATAAAAGTGTTTCATTTTCTGTCTTTACACATTAGATATTGATAATCATTTTCTGTCTTTACTTATTTGATATTGTTAATCATATTTTAGGACCAAGTGATGGCAGAACTGAAGCCATATGCCTCAAAAGAGAAAGGTACAGCAAAGCTCTTCAGAATGCTATTCAATATAGAAGAGATTAAAGGCCGCTCATTGTTTGGTATGAGGAAAGGGAACAGAGAGTCTGACGCCAGACCTTCTTGTGCAGACAAGGCAAAACTTAAGTTCTTGGAAGGTAACTAATGAACTGAATGAAAATATCATTTTTGATTCTGCGTATATTTTCTGCCTTGGAGTAAATAAGAAAAGTCTGATTCTTCCACGTCTGCAGTGCTGTTTTTTAAAGTGTTTTAATCATATCTATGCTCTCAAATTGAATATAGAAATATCCAATAGTCATATAAAAATGTAAGCTTATGTTTTTAATTATTGTATTAATCATTCATAATTTTTTTGTTTTAGATTGTGCGCTCGAAAAGTTGCCGACAACCTAAAGGACTGAACTCAAACCGTCCAGGAATAGCAAGATAAACTGAAGAAAATAAATGGACTAATGTTTTGCTATTTTTTGAGACAATATATAATTTCATATGGAAACATTAAAAAGGATTATTTTTAAAATTTGTTTGTTTCCAATTTAGGGTACAGGGTGACTTTCAAGCAGTTTCCAGCTATTGCCACCCACAAGGTGAAAAATTTCTGAAAGGGTGAAAATAGGTGGCATTTAGTGGAAACTGAATTTGCCACTATCTGGTGGCAAAATGGTGGAAAAGTGTCTAAATACTCCACCAATTTTCCACCCTTATGGTGGCAAAAGGTGGAAATAAGTGGCATTTGGTGGAAAATAAGTTTGCCACTCAATGGTGGCATAATGGTGGAAATTTGTCTAAATACTCCACCAATTTTCCACCATTATGGTGGCAATAAGTGGAAACAAGTGGCATCTAGTGGAAAATGAGTTTGCCACCCTAAGGTGGCATAATGGTGGCATTATGGTGAAAGTTTGTCTAAATACTCCACCAATTTTCCACTCATTGGTGGCATTTAGTGTAAAAAAGGTGGAATTAACTGGAAAATTATATAACATCAGTCCTGCTCAAATTTTTCACCATTTTCATGATTTGGGTGGCGTTTTGGTGGCGTTTTGGTGGCATTATTGGTGGAAAATTGTCTAAATACTCCACCATTGAAAAGGGTGGCATTTTAGTGGCAAATCTAGGGACGGGTAGCTTCTGTTTTGGAACTGTCCATTATCATTTTTGGGGATATCAAAATGATAAACTAAATTTGGTCAGCAAATGGTATAGAGCCTAGTCATATTGCTGTGTTTCAGCAGTGGAATACATGAAGGCCCTTTATGTCTCAGCAATCCTTTTATTCTTATTTCTCAAAAGCTTTTAATATTATTTTTGATGTTGTGTTATAGTGTCCGATACATTTTGAGGCTTCTTGGGCCTTTAACAAATGAGCCGCGTCACGACAAAACCAACATAAGGCGTTTGCGACCAGCATGGATCCAGACCAGGCTACGCATCCGCGCAGACTGATCAGGATCCATGCTGTTGGCTTACCAACCCTATTACAAGTAGAGAACCGCCTATATGACTGAAATACTGTTGGAAAAAGGCGTAAAATTAAACAAACAAGTAGAGAAACTGATAGCAAACAGCATGGATCCTGATCAGACTGTGCGGATGCGTAGGCTGGTCTGGATCCATGCTGGTCGCAAACGCATTACGTTGGTTTTGTCGTGATGCGGCTCAAATAGATTTACCATACTTGCTGCAATACAGTATGGACATTTATAAGTTCTGTTTGTCTTTTTCATAATACTCTACTTATTTTTGGGAAAAAAATGTTAAACTGACATGGTTTTGATATGCTACTGGATATCCCATTGTTGTTTTTAATCTACATGTATATAAGTAAAGTATAACATATGGACAATGATGAAAAAATGTTAAAATGTTTATGACTTTACAATATCTTATTATAAGATATCTGCCTGAGCAAAATAAAAACAACTTTTTTATGCCCCTACTGAACTTTTCTTATTGTTAACAGTCATTTTGAATGGTTCTGTACTTTGACCATGATAAATTCCTTAATGTATTGTTTGAATAATTGAATACTTGTTTTACAAAGCACATTATACATATAGTCAAAGGTCATATCATGTAGATGTAGCATGAAATGAAGAAAAAAAATTATTTTGTTAATGTTGTTGTTTTTTTTTGCTTGAAACTACAGCCTAGTATAGGCCTTTTCTCAGTAAAAGAAAAGTGTTGAAAACTCCCTGTGTTATCTTGATACTTGATAAAATTTCAAAGACTTCTCTCTCTCTCCTTCCCCCACTCCCCCCATACCAGCTCAGCACCTTTATTCATAATATAGTTTTTATGAAAAATATGATTTACAAAAAAGTTGCTTGGAATAATTGAGGAGAAACTGTGTTTTATCAATTTCAGAGGGTAAAAATGCCAGTTTCTCTGTAACATTTGATAAGGCATTTAAAGCGAAGAATACAGGATCCTACCTGTGCGACTCTGATACAACAACTGGTCTTAAAAACGGGCTTGAACTTAAGACGACTGACTTCCAGTACACCGCTCTACAATCTAATGTAACAAAGTTCGGAGATAAAGGTAAGTTACTTCTAAGTGCACTAGGGCTGTTATTAGAAATGATTTTGTTATATTGTTGATCAATTATTGGCATTGATTTGATTGAAAAAAATCAGTAATTCTAAGTTGATATCAATAATAAATGTCTTGAAATTAGGGGAGGTGGCAAGTCAAAAGGACATGTCTGAAACAGTGCTGTTGTTATTTCAAGCATATTATATTTTATAGCAGTGAAGACAAAAAATAGGCGGAAAAAATCATGCAGTTTGTGTTTATACATTATACACATAATAATTGTATGTGCATGTATTACTGAAATCATGAAAACCAGTATGAAAGTGAAATAAAGAAAACGGGTATGAAAGTGAAATATAGGTAAGGAATACTTGATATATCAATATATTATTGATAACCCTCTTGTCCAGAGAATAATTTTGTATATCAGTAATAAAATGGTGGATGGATGTTACTATTTCAGATGTTGCAGAGTGCACTGCTGATGCTAAAACAAGCAGTGTTGTACCGATTGCTGTAGGAGCGGCACTTGCTGGCCTCGTTGTCATAGTACTGATTGCTTACCTGATTGGTCGTAGACGTAACAGGAAGGGATACGAGTCTGTGTAAACATGAACAAAACAATAACAATTTACAGTGATGAAGATTAACTTTTTATGGATTGTTAAGTAACTGAACAAAGAAAAAAATCGCAAATTGCATATTTTGAATTTTTATTGACACGATATCATTCTTTTAAGATCATATACCAGATACGTCCGTTAAAAATTATGATGTGCTTCAAGGAATTAAGTATCAAATTCATTTTTCTGTGCCAAACTTAAGCTACACTAATATTTAGGTATAACTTATTGCACTTCAGAACATGTGCTTATGGGCAGTAAATACTTAAAAAAAAATACCTTATCAGCAAAGCTGTCGTTTGTGAAAATTCAGGACAAACAAATAAAATGCATTGTATGAACTAATTAATTTATTTGATATTCTTAGTGTCAGAAGAATGTATTACATTTTTTTCTTTCTTATTAAATTAAAATCTTACAAAAATCTTTAGTTTTTAATGGACAAATTGTTGTTGTTATTTTTTGTAATAATCTATCTATAAATAAAACGAAATATTCTGTCATTTTTTTTTTTTCAGATATGTTATTTTTACTTTGTTGTTTTTTCCAATAACAAAGTTGAAATGTTTTGTTTTAGAAATGAATAATTGCGTTAATTATATATATATATATAATTTTTTTAATTGAGTTAATATTTCACTTGCTTTCTGAGAATTGTATAATGGAAATATGGCCGATTAGATATGTGAATATTACCAATTTTTAGAGATTTATATGAATAATGTAGGGAGTTTCTTACATGGAAGGCTACAAAAATGACAAAGTATTGGATTCGGCTGTGTATATATTATGAAGGGTAGTTTCTATATTCAAGCTGGTAGGGTTGAACAGGGTTGGTTTGCAGAGAGACTTTTATAATAGAAGTCGATATTCTTGAATGCTAACCCTGTTTCTATGTTGGTAGCTATTGGGCCGGCATTGATTATGTAAGATTATCTATGTGGTCAGGCTGCCATTAGGATACATTAACTTTATTTATGTGAAAAAAATTAAACTGGGAAGTCTTTTTCTCATGTATAGAGCCAGGCCACATGCCAAAGTGTGATGTTGGGCCTCTGGCTGAGTGGTTGAAGTTGCTGAATATTTATCACTTGCAAATCCTAACCAACATGGGTTTGATAAGTTTTATACTTTTGTGTGAGGAAGCTACATGTATGCAGCTAGCTTACAGAATGTTGGTGGTTTTATTTGGGTGCCCACTCGTGCCGAAAATAATGCACTAATAGAGCAATAGAAAGTTAGTGTGAGGTGCGGCCAGGCTCTGTACTGTTGACTTAGTGGTAGGATAGTGTTGCTGAATTCCTTAATATTTCTAATGGACTCTTCCTAGTTCAAAACAGGGCAAGCCCATTATGTAAAATTTAGGTCGTTCTTGTGAAAAGGTTGAGAACGAAAATGTTAACAATGGCTCGTTGATCACTATTTTTTTCATTCCATTAATTTGTACATATTATCGTGATAATGCACAAATTGTATTTAGATATATTGTACTGTATTGTATGCGTGTATTTGTAGAGAAATAGTAAAATCGTGTTTATATGTCGGAATGAAAATATTATTTTTTATTTTTTTGACAATGATTGTAGCTCAGTTTGTTTTTTTTGTGACGCTGGACTTAAGAAATTAGTTCCTTTTTTCTGAATGTTGCTGCATTTTTACACTGTGTAATTTGTTGGAACAATTTTTGTAAGTTACGGAAAGGCGAAGGTTTTTCTTTGAATGACTGTTTCGTAGTAATCTGTGAATATTTACTTGTTTCCCTGCTCATTTAAACGTTGTTTTGTGTACGCAAACTTATTGTTACTGGCTTGAAAAAGAAAAGTTGTAAGTAACTCTTATTGTATGTGCTTTACTTTAATAACAGTGTTGACAAGGTTGTAAATATTGATAAATTGATTGATTGATTTGATTGATTGATTGATTGATTTTGATATTTTTCTCAGTGTTCCAATATATAATGTTATTTTGAGGTAAATTGTCGCCAAAGATTCTTTTGTCCATATTTTCAATAATTTTATGTAGCTTTAGAAACTATACAGGATGGTGTATTTTAAAATTGGCCTATAATTTAAACTCTATATATTCCTTTAATAATTAAATATTTGAAAGTAAATGGTACTTTTCTAAGAAGCAACGTTGTATATTTGTAGCGGAAAAAAGTGTGAGATGATTTATTTTTTATTTGTTTCTATCAGCTGAGCATAATTATACGTAATTAACTCATGAAATATGATGTTGTATGTAAGTATTAAGAATGATTTAGACCAGTTCATGATTTAGACCAGTTCATGATTTAGACCAGTTCATGATTTAGACCAGTTCATGATTTAGACCAGTTCATTCAAGTGGAAATTTTCCAAGAGTTCAATTGATTTGATAAACTGAAAAATAAATATACAGGTTGTAATGTAATTACATAGATATTTGTCAACATTTTAGGTATATTTTCTATATTTATTGCCGAATTTATGCATGCATGTACAAAAAAAATAATTCCTGTACCAATTTGATGAAGAAATGCATGATTGCTGATGTTGAATGAAATTGGTTCGCATAAGTGCAAGATTTTTGTTAACTTGTTTAAGAAAAAAAGTCTAGTTACAAAAACAAATCTTAAATAAACAAATCTTTATTGTCGTGAACTTTATAAATGACTGGAGTTACGATAGTTTATCTATGTAGGAGATGTAGTAATATGATGCCGAAGACAGCATATGTTGTGTTTGTTGAATCCTTTGTTAACTATGTCATTCAAGAAATTAAAAAATTTTAGTGCCGAAACTGTCACATGTGCGACTGTATTTGTAATGCAGTTCACTTTGTTAGACGGAAAGTACAGCCCCTGCCTTAAATTATCGAGGAGATATAAAATTTTGGTGCGGAGGCACGTATGTGTATAATTTATTTCCTGTTCTTTGAGCAAAATAAATAATTTTATAAGTATATTGATGAATGAGAGATAGAACTGTCTCGATAAGGTGATATATAATCAGAAGTGCTATATTTTCACTGTTCTACATGTATAATGAATATATTGATGCATGTAGATGAATAAACTGTGCTATAAATAGCTTAATACTCAATAGTTTAAATTCTTCTATTTTATTTCTTATAAAATGTGCTAAGTTGGTATAAAAGTGCTGGTGAATGAGTTAGTGCAATAGGTATAAAGTATACGTTATTATCTGCACGTTATGTATTTCATTATATATAAAAAATTATTTCCCATCTTGAGATGAAACATTTTTGTGTGTACATTAGAAAATAATTTACAGTGTAAACAAACTTTTTTTTTTTAAATCAGTGTTATAAACTTTGTTAAGTTTACACATGATAAATAGTTTAGAAGCAAATATTTGTTTTAGTACATACTTACACGATTTATATTTTACTTCAAAGTTAGTTTAAGTGTACTTTCATCTCATTTATAAGTATAGACTTTAAAATTAAAGAAATAAGAATGTAAAATATGACTAGATTTAGATTGTGTATTTTATGATGTGTCAGTCAGTAACATGCGAAATACAGTCAAACTCATGTTAAAGACCACCTCTGACTAAAGATTATCATGCTATTAAAGACCAATTTTTCAAAAAAAAAAATTAATTGATAAAATTAAACAGTAACCCCCAAATACAGACCACTTGTCTGTAAAGGCCATGTTTGGTCTCTCTATTAGGTGATCTTTGTTAACATGTTTGACTGTATTCACTCTCTAAGATAAACACCATGTATTGTTATCATCTATTTCACTGGTTTGTAGTTAGATGTTGAATAAATGCTTATTTTTTTGTAAAATTTGGTTTGTTTGTTTTACATACTTTAATCTTTGTTCTAGTTTAAGCACACACACACACACACATACATACCACTATGTCCTTGTGATGTCTGATAAAATTATTGATGTTAGCTTATTGCCAGTTGTAATATATTGTTAGTAATTCCTTGAATAGCTTTGTAAAACAAAACAAAAGTAATGTACACATCAGTTTGAAATGAAGTCATATGAAGTTGACTCTTACTGTAAAAAAAAAGATATCTACATTTATAACTAGTCTTTCAGAGGACCAGTAGTGTGAAATGCTGACCTTGTAAACCAATGTTCTTATTGAACTTAAATCCTTTGTGGTACATTTGTCACATCATACCCATCCAATGTGAATCATTGTCCTTGCTGAATTCTTATCCTATGTGAGTTTGTCTTTATTGAACTTTAATCCTATGTGAAACATTGTCACAAATGTGAATTATTGTCCATCACTGGCACACTTTTGTCCTATGTGAATTTTTATGCTCCCCGAAAAAATTTCGGGGGAGCATATAGTCGCCGCCTTGTCCGTCCGTCTTTCCGTCCGTCCGTCCCCTTTTCTTGTCCGGGGCATAACTTTGAAACAACAAAAGGTATCAACATGAAACTTTGTAGGTAGATAGATCTCATTGAGTAGGTGTGCAGTGCACAAGAACCGTAACTCTGCCTTGCCTAATTTTTGAATTATCCCCCTTTGTTTATTTTACACTTTGAACTTTGTCCGGGACATAACTCTAAAAGTATAAGAGGTATCAACATGAAACTTTGTAGGTAGATAGATCTCATTGAGTAGGTGTGCAGTGCACAAGAACCGTAACTCTGCCTTGCCTAATTTTTGAATTACCCCTCTTTGTTTATTTTACACTTTGAAATTTGTCCGGGACATTACTCTAAAACTATAAGAGGTATCAACATGAAACTTTGTAGTTAAATAGATCTCATTGAGTAGGTGTGCAGTGCACAAGAACCGTAACTCTGCCTTGCCTAATTTTTGAATTATTCCCCTTTGTTTATTTTACACTTTGAACTTTGTCCGGGACATAACTCTAAAAGTATAAGAGGTATCAACATGAAACTTTGTAGGTAGATAGATCTCATTGAGTAGGTGTGCAGTGCACAAGAACCGTAACTCTGCCTTGCCTATTTTTTGAATTATCCCCCTTTGTTTTTTTTACACTTTGAACTTTGTCCGGGACATAACTCTAAAAGTATAAGAGGTATCAACATGAAACTTTGTAGGTAGATAGATCTCATTGAGTAGGTGTGCAGTGCACAAGAACCGTAACTCTGCCTTGCCTATTTTTTGAATTATCCCCCTTTGTTTATTTTACACTTTGAACTTTGTCCGGGACATAACTCTAAAAGTATAAGAGGTATCAACATGAAACTTTGTAGGTAGATAGATCTCATTGAGTAGGTGTGCAGTGCACAAAACCCGTAACTCTGCCTTGCCTATTTTTTTAATTATCCCCCTTTGTTTTTTTTACACTTTTAAATTTGTCCTGGGCATAACTCTAAAAGTATAAGAGGTATCAACATGAAACTTTGTAGGTAGATAGATCTCATTGAGTATGTGTGCAGTGCACAAGAACCTTAACTCTGCCTTGCCTAATTTTTGAATTATCCCCCTTTGTTTATTTTTACACTTTGAACTTTGTCTAGGACATAACTCTTAATGTATAAGAGATATCAACATGAAACTTTGTAGGTAGATAGATCTCATTGAGTAAGTTTGCAGTGCACAAGAACTGTAACACTGTCTTGCCTACTTTTGGAGTTATTGCCCTTTGTTCATTTTGACACTTTGAACTTTGTCTGGGACATTACTCTAAAATTATAAGAGATATCAACATGAAACTTTGTAGATAGATAGGTCTCATTGGGTGGAAGTGCAGTGCTTAAGAATCATTACTCTGCCTTGCCTTATTTTGAAGAAATTGCCCTTTGTTTATTTTTACTTTTTGACTTTTGTCCTGGACATTACTTTAAAACTATTAGAGATATCAACATGAAACTTTGTAGATAGCTAGATATAATTGGATAGAACTGCAATGCTTAAAGAACCTAAACAAAGCCTGGTCTAATTTTGGAGTTATTGCCCATCGTTCATTTTTACACTTTGACTTTTACCCGGGACATAACTCTGATATCATCAGGAAACTTTATAGATAGATAGATCTCATTGAATAGAAGTGCAGTGCAAAAAACATAACTCCGCTTTGCCTAATTTTGGAGTTTTTGCCCTTTGTTCATTTTTTTTATACTTTCCTGTGTCAAGAACCTTCTCGGGGAGCATCACCCGGTTCAACCGGTTCTTGTTATTCTTTGTGAAACATTATCATAAATGAATGAACTTAAATATTTAGTGAATCATTATGGCATTTGAACTTTTAACATATGTAACTTATTGTCCCATGTGAAGTTATATCATATGTGAATCAATTTCACCCAGCATCTTATGATATGTTTTTATCCTATGTGAACTACTAACCTATGCAAACATTGGAACATTGTGAGCGAACTTTACTTCAATGTTTATTGTCTTCCTATGAGACGTTAATTAAGTCATATATGAGGTGATTTACAATATGAACCCTATGTGACCTATCATTATATTTCAGTCGGTTTTGAAATGCCTTAAAAAGTGCTTATGTTCAAATTGTTTACAAAGTGTACAGTATCTTCAGGCTTTGATTTAATACCCTATTAACTATCTCGGTTTGTATTATGTGATGAAATGAGGGGCTCGAAAATAAATATATTCTTGACTTTAGAGCCACCTGTTGAAAGTTCTTGAAAGCACGATAATGATCCAAATGTCTCATGTACTACAACGTTTGCTTGACCCCTAGCTCTATAATATATTAACAAAATTAAAGACAGATCCCTTTTTGCATTGAATAGATAGCTCTGTTTATGAAAGGGACTATAATAGATATTAGGGTTCTCGAGGGATATTTGAGGGCAACAACTCCTTTGTTTTTAGAGGAGGTATGGCCCCTAAACCCTCCCCCCCCTTCCCCTTATGATATTTTCATCAATAGATGGCATGTAAATTTTGACATATTTTATCCTGATCTTTAAACATCTGTGAACTTCCCACGGTTGCTTGGAAAAAGGGAGACAAATGCAAATATCTTACTGCGCATACCTTTCAGAGTTATTCTACTTGATGATAAAAATGGACGTAATACTTTTACATTGTATGTCATTTAGTTTAAAATGTAGTATTTTATGTCCATTTTAAAGAGAAAATCCAAAACGTCAGACCGTTTTGGGGACTGACAAGCCCTCCCCAACCTCCACTCCTGCAAATCCCTGTCTGCTATACCCCTTGAACAAGCAAGTATAAATATAATAACTGATAGGAGGAAATAATTTTAAATAATTCTAAGTGAAGTCATTAAAAAAGCTTCATGATTATACACGCTGGCCCATCCTACACAGAAATAATGTCAGGTGTTGCGGAGAAGTAATTGCTGTGGTTTTGACTAGAAAAAGAATTTCTGTGCCAAGGTCGAGCTTTTAAAACCAATAAAACGCGTGCATATTATGTTTATAAGTATTTTCATTACATGTCAAATATAACGTTTTAATCATTTTTGTACATATTTTTGAAGCTGTCTGTGTTCTCATTTTACTAGTTGGCAATCGGACTATTTTGTTTCATGCATTCATATATCTTGTATGCAAGAGAAAACAGCAACGCAGAGAGCATTAATTTCTAAAATGTACACTAGGCATATAATTAAATGAGCCGCGTCACGACAACACCCAACATAATTGGTTTGCGACAAGCATGGATCCAGACCAGCCTGCGCATCCGCGCAGTCTGATCAGGATCCATGCTGTTCGCTATCAGTTTTTCTACTTGTTATAGGGTCTGTAAGCGAACAGCATGGATCCTGATCAGACTGCGCGGATGCGCAGGCTGGTCTGGATCCATGCTGGTCGCAAACCCATTATGTTGGTTTTGTCGTGACGCAATTGTGAAAAAATAAATTACACAAAATTCAATGATTGTTTATCAATTATTAACATTTATTTTATACTATTAAAAGGAAGTATGTTTTGCAATTGCTTGTCCTGAACTTAAGTAGCGGATAATTATTTTAATCATCATTAAGACAAAGCGCCTTCTAGTGACTTCTATAAACTGAAGGGGAAGAATGACGCATAAGAACTATTAAATACAAGTACTTGTGGACCCTTGCCTTCGCTTAAAGGCACATTATGTCCATAAAATGTTATCATTTTTTATTTCTCAAAAAGTGTTTATTTTTGGTTTTATCTGGTTACATTTTCTAGAAACAAACTCATTTGCTATATACATGAACTATCTTTTTCATCTTTAGTTCTGTTGGCAATTGGAAGCAAAAAAAAAAATTGTATGGATGTCAAAATACTACTTTATTTACATTTTGCTACTTTTACAACAAATAACTACATGTTCAGTGCTACTTTTTTCTGATGTAAAATCTAACATACACTTAATCAATAATTTAAGCATTATTAAAACACCGTTTTACAATTCTTAAGAATAAAAAAGATATGATTTTCCTAGGCATAATGTGCCTTTAAGAAACTACTGGGCTGTAATAAAAATATGCGTACCGAGTAGTCATCTATGTTTGTTTAACCCTTGTCATGCTAAATATAAATGCACTTGTTCAACTTTCAATGCGGACACAATGTGGGAAATTTCAAAAAATGTGGTAAATATGGTGGCTGATTTGGTACGCTTTTGTGCGTCTAGTTGGCGCGTTCTCGTGCGGCCTGTTGTCGCGATGTCGCATTGTGGCTCGGTTCAAATTGAATGACTGGCTTATAAGCCAAGCGACTTCGCGACAACGCGCCGCACGACAACGCTCCGTTTGGCGTGCCGCGCTAGAGACAGGGCGACAAGACGACATCGCGCCGTTTGGCACTTTGTCGTGTTGTCGCTTATTTGGTCTTAAATGTGTTTATGCAAGTTGCTACTTTATCTAAA